CCCGAAACCGTAAACCTTCGACCCCAAACCCTGACACCTTGTTCACCGTTTCATAAACAGGAAAGTCGATTTACCCTTCGATGTATGTCAGCTCTCCTTTCAAAGGGGCGCGCATGGACCCTCTAGCTTCATGCAGTGTAGGAGACAGTCCCATGTCCGTCACAATGAGGCTATGCCCAGAGCAATGCACTGATGCGTCTCGTGTCCCCAGTGCCCTGTGCTTCGCTAAGGCTACTGCAATGCAGTCACAGCGATTTCCCGAAGCTTACGATCTCGATGAGGCCAACGGGGGTCCTCGTTCCAGTTTCTTGTGGTGGGCGCTGTTGCTTCCATCGTACAGAACTGTCAACATCGGGAATCTAGTTTACAGGCATAGGTTCGACAGGCACGTTGCAGCTGCTTGAGATGATCACACCGTACCACACGCGAGCATGTAGACTTGAATCCACGACAACATGTTTTCGACAGGCCAGCGATTTCGACAGGCTCTTCAGCTTTGGAGAGACGCTATGCTGACTTGTGTGCGTGCGTGCGTGCGTGCGTGCGTGCGTGCGTGCGTGCGTGCGTGCGTGCGTGGGTGTGCGTGCGTGGGTGGGTGGGTGGGTGGGTGTGTGTGTGTGTGGGTGTGTGTGTGTGTGTGTGTGTGTCTGTGTGTGTGTCTCTGTGTGTGTGTCTCTGTGTGTGTGTCTCTGTGTGTGTGTGTGTGTGTGTGTGTGTGTGTGTGTGTGTGTGTGTGTGTGTGTGTGGTGTGTGTGGTGTGGGTGTGTGGGTGTGGGTGTGGGTGTGTGGTGTGGGTGTGGTGTGGGTGTGGGTGTGGGTGTGGGTGTGGTGTGGTGTGGGTGTGGGTGGGGTGTGTGGGTGTGGGTGTGGGGTGGGTGTGGGTGTGGGTGGGTGTGGGTGGGGGTGGGTGTGTGTGTGGGTGTGGGTGTGGGTGTGGGTGTGGGTGTGGGTGTGGGTGTGGGTGTGCGTGTGCGTGTGCGTGTGCGTGCGCGTGCGCGTGCGCGTGCGCGTGTGCGTGTGCGTGTGCGTGTGCGTGTGCGTGTGCGTGTGCGTGTGCGTGTGCGTGTGCGTGTGCGTGTGCGTGTGATTGTGCGTGTGCGTGCACGCGTTCGCGCTCACGTTCGCGTTCGCGTGCGTGTTGCGTGTTGATTGTGCGAGGGCGCGCGCTTGTTGCGTGTTGAGTGCACGGGCTTGTGTGTGTGTGGGTGGGTGGGTGGGTGAGGGGCAGGGGTGTGGGTGTGCCCGTCTCTGAAGGTGCGAAGCTGGAGTTTTGATCTTGAAGCAAGAAGAGTCGGGCCTAAAGCAGTAATTAATTTCTTCGCATTTGAATGCATGTGGTCCTCCATGATGCAGCCGCGCTGATGTGGACACCAATGGGCTTGCGCATGTACCATAGGGTCGCAGGTTGCCATTGATGGGCTGCAGCTCGCAACGTGAATGTGTGACGATGCAAGAAACGTAGTTTCTGCATGCGTTTCACATTGTCTGTAGGGGGCTCTGCTTTGTCGGAAACCCTCCCTGATGCTCACAAGGACTGAGAGCTCTCACACCTCTGCCAGTAGCCATACGCGCCTTGACTGTATTCGGCCCAAACCCCCGTCACCTGGAGCGAGTGTGAGGCAAGTAATCCAATGACCACGCAAAGGAGGTAAGTTTGCTTATAATTACTGCTTCCAACTGTAAATTTCCTGAGTATAAATAAGTTCAATGGAAAAATAAGGGCCTGCGGCCCTAGTTCTGGGGCATTGCAACCCTAAATCCCTCAAAGAAACCAACACCCTACATGATATCTCCCTATAGAAATTCAACCCCTCAATGCCCCTCAAGGGCCTAAAGAATCGTCCCAAACCACTAAAATACCGCCCTCAGCGCCCGAGCTCAAGTCAGGCTCGACCAACAAGCACCTACAGAGATGCTTGAGGCTTGCAGATCTTTGGTTCGGGACGTAGGGTTTATGAAGGGCTTTGGGGGCTTTGGCAGACTTTGGGTTTGGAATGGGGTGTTCAGAATCCTTAGAGTAGGGCTTTGGGTGTTTGGGACTTGGGTTTGGGTGTTGAGAAATCTAGGATTCTAACATTGTGTGGGTTACAGTATGGGGCTTCGGGGGCGTCTCGGATGCCATTGTTCTGGAACATAGGTTTTAGGCGGGGTCAGGCTTCAGGATTTAGAGCTTGTAGAATTTGGTTTGGGGTGTTTAGGTCCTGAGCTGAGGGTTTTGGGCATATAGGGCGTTTTAAGTTTTCAGGGTTCGGGGAAAAAGTTAAAGAGATCTCTTGTCTCATAAGTCTTGAAAACTGGATTGCCGGTCCCAGCTCGCTGTGGTCCATCTGTTTGAACAAGCTCCCCAATCATCACGGACAAAAATAGGCAATCATGCAAGGTTGTCGAGAAGGGTGCCTACGAGGTAGCTGCAGAATCTTATCACCACTCAGACCCCCTGCACGTTCTTAAAGAGCCGAGCTGGGACAACCTGAAGCCCGTTAAGTGTCAGCCGCTCCTGAAAGGAAGTCGACCCAGACGCTGGACCTGTGATACAGGAGGCAGGGAGCGGGTCTGAGTCTGGAGAGGGATGATTGGCAGCCCATCTTGGGATGATGGATAGCTGCCGTTGTTGCGGACGTCTGAAGGTGTTGTTTGAAATCGGTGTAGGCATCCTAAACCCCAATTTTTGTCCTTGACCAAGGACCACGGACCCCTCCCCCTTCCCTCCCCCCCCACCCAATTCTCCCTAAACCATAAACTCGAAACTGCAGGACGCTGATGAGCCCTTCAGCCCAGCTCCGTGGATGCAGTGGCCAAGTATTCGGTTTAGGGTTTTGGGGACGTTTAGGGGGAGTTAGCAACTTCGTGTTCAGGATGTTCGTTGGGTTCAGGATGTTGGGGGTTAGAGGGCTTTGGGGCTGTCGAGGGTTTAGAAGCGTTCAGCCTCAGCTGTTTAGGGCATCGGATGTTTTGGCTTCACGGTTTGGTAACCTAGGGTTTAATGGGAGTTCACGATAGTTTGGGGCCCTTGATAAAGATTCCAAAATATGAAGATTTCGTTGTACTCAGGCCCGCAAGAAGCCCTAAACCCCAACCTCCAAATCGAGGTCCACACTCAGCTGGAGGAAGTACTGCATGACCTACACGAGATGGAGAAAGACTTGGAGATTCAGGCGCTCTGCCTGTGTTGAGGCTGTGTGCTTTTAAGGCTTATGGGCATCCAGATACGGGTTTGGGGCTTTTCGGGGGTCCAGGGATCTAAGGTTTAGACTTTTAGGGCTTATAAGGTGGGGTTCAGGGTTTCGTTTAAGGGGAATGGGGGTCGACGATTGGGCGCATTCGCGCGTCCAAGGGCTTGTTGTTATTTATTATTATTTGTTTTTTGGGGGGGGTTGCGCCAGCACAGACAGGTTGTTCGGTTTGCAGGCCTGAGTGGGACCAAGCACCGCAAGGTATCGAATTTCTGCATTGAGGTAAAATATTTGTACAATATCATCAGACTAGGGATAGCATAAGATAAACAGATTGAGATGTTAGATGGTGATAGGATGATAGGACCATACGATAGACAAGGTTATAAGGTTGCGATCTCGGAATGTGAAAGATCACCCCCGTTGCAGGTTCGAACATATGATCTCCGCCTCTCCGATCTCGAGGACCACAAACCTTAATACAGGAGCCGAAATACGCCCCTACTAAACCGACTAAACCCTAAACCCTAAACCCTACTCTCCCCTTAATAGTCCCATTCCAAGTATACAACCCCCAAACTACCCATTCTAATTCATCAGGCCCCAACCCTACACACACCCTGACCATGAGGGCTTAAACCATTAAGCCTCGAAGATTCCTAAACAAACGCCTCCAAGTATTTGACGAAAATCAAGTAGATGCAGCTCCCAGGAGGACGCGGAGAAATCTGGAAGCGCGCAGACAAACGAGCTCCCGGGCCTGCAGCCGGTTTGAGTTGTGATAACCTCAATAGTATAGGCTCCCACTCTACGGTGTAGTTTTTTAAATAAGTGGAGGGCGGCCAGGACCCCGGAGACACGGAGGTAGTATAAAAGTGCTGTTTAAATCGTGCATTTAAACGCCTACCCACCCCGCCACCCCCCACCCCTCCACCCCTCCACCCCCTCCACCCCCTCCACCCCCTCCACCCCCTCCACCCCCTCCACCCCCTCCACCCCCACCCCCTCCACCCCCTCCACCCCTCCACCCACCCCTTTTGGAGGGGTGGAAGGGGTGGAAGGGGTGGAAGGGGTGGAAGGGGTGGAAGGGGTGGAAGGGGTGGAAGGGGTGGAAGGGGTGGAAGGGGTGGAAGGGGTGGAAGGGTGGAGGGGTGGAGGGGTACCGCTTGTTTAAATTGGGCTTGGCGGCCCGATCGAAACCCCGACGGAGGTAGTATAAAGTATCTGTTTAGATATTTAAAAATCCGCATGTTTAAAAAGCGTCACCGTAGATTTCTACTTTGCATAGCGGAATTCCCCCTCCCAAATGAACCCTAATTTGGGAACCAGCCTCCGGTAAGTTGTCTATAAGCCGGCAAAGCGAGCAGGCGCGAAACTGGTGACCACTCTTGGGGTTGATCGTTCAAGGCTGCGTGGTTTTGGGGCGTAGTCCGAGGCCTGCGCACAGGTACGGAACCCTGTCTACCCAAGTCACTCCAGCCCAGACCTGCTCACGTGGTGCCATTCGAGCCTTGTAAGGTTTCGGTCAAAACTAGAAGAGGGATGGCCCGAAAGCATCGATTTGCCGTGCGTTGACTCCATGCAGTTGACTCTCTGCAGCCGAAGTGCATGCACTTGACAAATGTATCCACGAACATGGTTGCAGTCACTGTGCACTGCACTTGTCCACTGGACGTGTATGCACTTGAACTGCATGGCATTCAAGTGTGTGGAGTTGATGCCATGCACTTGTAGTCAACTCTATACACTTCATCGGCATTGATTACAACGCCGAGCTCCACGGTGTACTGCGTTTGTACTACAAAAATCGACTTTCCAGACACGTTTGACATTTGGGCTTTTTGTCCTTGGGGCCCCAAACATCTTGCTGGAGGCGGGTGCCACACAAACTGTTTTCCCTACAAGTCGATTTTGGGCTGCTGTCATACCCGCCGCGCAAGTTTGAGCAGCTGTGCACTTTTACTCAAAAACTGATTCATGCGGAACCAGAAGTTTGTATAACAATGATTGGAGGAGTTAGACAAGACAAGCTTTGCACTAGCTGTTTTCGAGTCTTCTGCAATCCCAGCAGGGGAGGTGCTCGGCCCTTGGCCTGCTTCTGGCTGGCCTTCGACTTCGCAGCCGTTTTTTTGGGGCTTAGCTCAACTTCGCCTGCAAGTTCTGGCACTTTGATAAGCTGGCTTTCGGCAGCCTGCCACCTCTAGGCGGAAGGTGCCGGAGCTGGCCTGGGAAAGATTTGGAACCAGCGAATTCGGGGACCATGCTATTTGCGATGGTTTTGGAACCAGCGAATTCGGTGACCATGGTACTTGCGATGGTTTTGGAACCACGATATTTACGAGGTTTTCGAGGCCCCGGAATTCGAGTCCCATGATATTTGCGAGCTTTTCGAGGAATTCGAGTCCCACGATATTTGCGATGGTTTCGACATCCCGGAGTTCGAGTGCCACGATATTTGCGAGGTTTTCGAGGCACCGGAATTCGAGTCCCACGATATTTGCAAGGGTTTTGAGGAATTCGAGTCCCACGACATTTGCGATGGTTTCGACATCCCGGAATTCGAGTCCCGCGATATTTGCGAGGTTTTCGAGGCCCCGGAATTCGAGTCCCACGAAATTTGCGAGTTTTTCGAGGAATTCGAGTCCCACGATATTTGGGATGGCTTCGACGTCCCGGAATTCGAGTCCCACATGTCCGTGAATTCGGGGACCATGGTATTTGCGATGGTTTTGGACCAGCGAATTCGGGGACCATGGTATTTGCGATGCTTTTGGAAGAGCGATGGCTTTTGGAACCAGCGAATGGGGACCATGGTATTTGCGATGGTTTTGGAACCAGCGAATACGGGGACCATGGTGTTTGCGATGGTTTTGGAAACAGCGAATTCGAGGACCATGGTATTTGCCATCGATGGTTTTGGAACCAGCGAATTCGGTGACCATGGTATTTGCGATGGCTTTGGAACAACCAGCAAAAGACAAAAACATCCCCGTGTCTTCACGCACGCGGAAGTCCGTTGCCATATGCTATTTGCGGTGTTTTCGAGCTCCCAGATGTCGGTTACCGTGCTATTTGCGGTGTTTTTCAAGCGCCCAGATGTCCGTTACCATGCTATTTGCGGTGTTTTTCAGGCGCCCAGATGTCCGTTACCATGCTATTTGCGGTGTTTTCAAGCGCCCAGATGTCCGTTACCATGCTATTTGCGGTGTTTTCAAGCACCCAGATGTCCGTTACCGTGCTAATTGCGGTGTTTCCAAGCGTTACCATGCTCTTTGCGCTGTTCTCAAGCGCCCAGACGTCGAGCGCCCAGATGTCCGTTACCGTGCTATTTGCGGTGTTTTCAAGCGCCCAGATGTCCGTTACCATGCTATTTGCGGTGTTTTCATGCGCCCAGATGTCCGTTACCGTGCTATTTGCGGTGCCCAGATGTCCGTTACCGTGCTATTTGCGGTGTTTTCAAGCGCCCAGATGTCCGTTACCGTGCTATTTGCGGTGTTTTCATGCGCCCAGATGTCCGTTACCATGCTATTTGCGGTGTTTTCAAGCGCCCCGATGTCCGTTACCATGCTGTTTGCGGTGTTTTCATGCGCCCAGATGTCCGTTACCATGCTATTTGCGGTGTTTTCAGACGCCCAGGGCGTCCGCGGCGTACTACGTCTGTACTACAAAAAGCCGACTTTCCAGCCACGGAAGCTCCGGGTGTCCCCGGCGTACTACGTCTGTACTACAAAAGTCGACTTTCCCCACGGAAGCTCCGGGCGTCCCCGACGTACTACATTTGTACTACAAAAGTCGACTATCCAGCCACGGAAGCTCCGGGTGTCCGCGGCGTACTACATTTGTACTACAAAAGTCGACTTTCCTGCCACGGAAGATCCGGGTGTCCGCGGCGTACTACGTTTGTACTACAAAAGTCTACTTTCCAGCCACGGAAGCTCCGGGTGTCCCCGGCGTACTACGTCTGTACTACAAAACTCGACTTTCCAGCCACGGAAGCTCCGCGTGTCCGTACTACAAAAGTCGACTTTGGCACCGTGACCACGCCGAAACCCGCAGAGGGGTTACGTTTGTATGTCAAAAAAGGCAAAAACACGATGGTTTTGGCACCGCGCCAACGCCGAAACCCGCAGAGGGGTTACGTTTGTATGTCAAAAAAGGCAAAAACACGATGGTTTTGGCACCGCGCCAACGCCGAAACCCGCAGAGGGTTGTCTGCGCCCACGAAAAAAAGTTCCAAAAACGACGGTTTTAGCACCGCGACCCGGCGATTACCCGCAGAGGGTTGTCCGCGGTCAGAAAGAAACGTCAAAAAACGACGGTTTTGGCACTGCGACCACGCCGAAACCCGCAGAGGGTTGTCCGCGGACACAAAGAAACGTAAAAAAACGACGGTTTTAGCACCACGACCACGCCGAAACCCGCAGAGGGTTGCAATCCCGATTGGCGATGTCAACCCAGCCCGCCGCCTTAGAAAGAGTAATTTTAATTTAGAAATCTAGGACTGGGTACGAAGGTCTAGGCAATTCACTCATTGCAATTCACTCTATGCAATTCACTCTATGCACTTCACTCTATGCACTTCACTCTATGCACTTCACTCTATGCACTTCACTCTATGCACTTCACTCTATGCACTTGACTCTGTGCACTTCACTCTATGCACTTCACTCTGTGCACTTCACTCTATGCACTTCACTCTATGCGCTTCACTCTATGCACTTCACTCTGTGCACTTGACTCTATGCACTTCACTCTATGCACTTCACTCTGTGCGCTTCACTCTATGCACTTCACTCTATGCACTTCGCTCTATGCGCTTCACTCTATGCACTTCACTCTATGTACTTCACTCTATGTTGTTGGGTCAGAGGGCTCCGCACGGAAGAACCCTTCGCGATGTTTTCGGGAAAAATTCGAGCCAACCTAAGGCTCGAAGCCCACCCTCATGGTGCCACCCTTTCAGGCTCCGGTCGCCACCGCTGCTGCCACCGCTGCCGCCTCCGCCGCACGCTCCTACGCTCGGGAGCCTTCCCCAAATTGAGTCATTTTTTTCTGGGGAGGTCCTTGGCCCTTCTTCGGGTTGGACCCTCAGACTCTTAGATCCCTCAAAGCTTTGTTCGGATTCCCTGGTTTTGGGGAGGCATGCAACTGCGACCCCTGCTGGTGGAACTTGGCACGCGTTCTCGGCACACACCCCCCAAATTCCCCCAAAGTCCAAGCCTTTTGACTCAAACCCTAAACCCTAAACCCTAAACCCTAGACCCTAAACCCTAAACCCTAAACTGGCCCTAAACCCTAAAAGGGCCCTGCTGAGGCCTGTGGGACCTCCCAGCAGCATCGAGGCGATCATGGCCTCCAGGTCCATGGCTGAAGCTGCTTCTTGGGCATCTTGTCTGCAAGCTCACAGGGTCCAACGTGCTCAGTGACTCTTATACAGGGTTTAGGGTTTTAGGGTTTGGGGTTTAGGGTTTTGGGTCTAGTATTAAGGGTTTAGGGTTTAGGTTTTAGTTTTGAGGGCTAGGGGTGCTCTTCTCGTGAATGCTTGGACTTCTATGTGGGTTTGAGTTTCAACTAAGTGGGTACCTGGTTCCGTTGGGAGAGATCTCCAATTTGTGAACGTCCTCAACCCCACATTGGCTAGATCATATAGTCAAGACCTTGCAAGGAAGCAGATCGCTGCTTTTGTAGGAAGCTCGGATTTCATGTGTAGACATCTGAGTCGCCCCTTCAAACGAGACAGTCGGGGTGTTTAGGTATGTAGCCTCTGGAAGCCACAAGAAAGCCCCAGGTCTCGCCATCACGGAACTCGAGCCCTGAACCCCATGCATTCAAACGCACATGCTGTTGCAGACTGACAGCGGCGACAACTACAAGTCGATGGTCGAGACAGCTTCATGGGTATCTCGCCTGCAATGTGTGCGACGTCCTGAACCCCAATCTGGCTAGGGTAAAGGTCACGACCAGACAAGGAAAGTGTTTGTTTGTTTTGAGGGAGGGGGCGGGAGGGTGGGCAGGGGGTGTCCTATCACACCCGAGTCGTGAGCGTGCGGGGGAGCCTTCACGGAAGAGGGCCTGTGCAAGCTGACGATCGGGATTTGTCAAGGTCAGTCTCAAATTTTGATGGCGATATTTATGGGAAGCTCAGCACTTGACTCAGCAGTCAGGAATCCCTCTTATCAATGTGTTGCCCGACTGCCCGATTCCTTTGTTACTGTAAATACGACTACGACTACGACTTCAAGCTTAAGATGCGCTGATGCGCGTCCATTGCGCACCAGCCACAACAGTACAGCCGCAGGAACGCCTGTGAAGCTCTCAAATGAATCTCAAATGAATCTCGAATCTTTTGGAATTCGGGATCAAGAAAAGGGCTCAAGGGGACTTAGGCTTTTTGGGTGCTGGGTGCAAGTTTGGCGCATCTTTTGCTTGCAACACTTTCCCTTACATCTATGTTTTTTCATATGACGCACTGCAGCTGGCCAGGTGCGTTGTCTGACCTGCTTTGAGTTTTGAACCCTAAACTTGGCCCTAAACCTAAGGCAGGAAGAACGATGAGAACGGTGCGGCAGTTCTTTTCATTTTCGAAGGAAGCCTCCAGGACTCAGGGTTTAGAGAACTAGGCGGATAGGTTTGATGGTTTTCGGCTTAGGGATACTGGGATGCATTGTGGTGCCTTTTTGGGGGGTCTCCGGTATGGCCGGTAGTAGTCTATATCAAAAAAAGTGCTTAATTACAGCACTTGATTTGCCACTGGAGGAGCAAGTCCCCTTCGCCTTCGGCGGAGGACGCTGCGTCCGCTCCGGCGCAGGAAGCTGGACCTGGGTCTGAGGCTGTCGGGTTTCGAGTCTACCTTTAAATGCCACACTTCCAAACTGTCATAGTCATGGTCTATTACACCTCAACATTGGCATGAACGACGGTTGAAGACAGCAGAGTGTCTCAAGCCAGGTGTTTTCCGTTTTAAGATTGTGAGCTTCTGGTTCCGGGTTTGGGGGGGCTTCTGCAGGACTGCTGCTTCAAGTCCTTCAAAAATTGGCTTGATCCAGAGGCTACCTTTGGCACATGAGACCTTCCTGCGGAGCTGCACAGCGATGAGTCCCTTGCGTCAGCAATTAGCCGGACCACCTGGGTTTTAGGGTAGTTTGATGGTTTGGGGATAACTGTAGGGTTGGAATGCGTCTGGCGGCTCTTCTATTTCGTCGCTGCGCATGCAGGCCCCGAAATTCGCAACCCACAATGGAATCCTTGGACCCAGGACGGCAAGCTGACGATGAGCTGTAGTTTTGATCCCCGGAGTCTTGCCTGGCGGCATTGGCAACGAATCATAGCAAATTACGGGCATGTTTTTTGGCTTCCGCATGCTGACCGTGCATGCGTATATGTGCAGCAGTTTGTTGAATCTTGTATAGATATAGGTATCATTTTCGCATGGACATAGGTAACCCACGATCAGCCGAATGTTCTATACATGTATATTATATATATATACACATTTATATACATAAATATATAGTTAATACATACTTACGTACAGACATACATATGTATGCAGGACAACGGTAAAGTAATGGCGCTTGTATACACATAGTTCGCACACCAGATTGGAGGACTCTTCTTGGCAGGCAGGTGCCCTATGAACGGTCATAATTTGGGTCTTATAAGGCGCATGCCTAAAAGCCAGTAGGCTAGAGATTTGGGGCTATATTTCCCTACTTGCAGCGGAGGCAACCCGAATCGTTCCTACAGCATGGGAGATGCCAAACTATGATGCCTGCCCTTCCTTCCAAGGAGGTAGGGAGGCGGCCCACGAAATTCGTCGAACTGCAGCTCGGGAAACAACGGGGCATTTGGAGGGACGGAGGCTCAGCGTTGGAGGCTTAGGGAGGGGCTTTGTGGGTCTGGGGTAGGTTTCCCAGCAGGCTGTCGGAATTCAGCGCGAGGGCGTTGCAGCATGTTCGACCTGCATGTGGCAACACTGCCGGCATTTCAGCCTCGCTTCTCATCCCCAAACACTTCAGCCTTCTAAGCCATAAATCCCAACTCTAAATCCCCGAACCTTAAGCCCTGTGTATGTCTTGTGCACGCCGAGCATGGCGACTCAATGATTCCCACATCTCGCCCATGGCAGACGCGTACCTTCTAATGCCTGAGGCCCCTTCAGGCACTGGCTCCCGACACTTGCCTAAGCCTGCAAACCCTCCCTCACAAGACCGGGCCCTACGGTGAAATGCCTCAACATGCGGATGGCAAGTCCTCTTCCTGTGACCGTAGAGGGTGTCGAGGTTTTTTAATGCGTGCCGTGGTGAGCGCGCGATGATCTTGCGACCCTCTGCTGTCGCTTTTCCGGAGATTCTTCAGCTGATGCTGTCTTGCAGCTCGAACTCCCCAAGCTTTCAAGATGTCTTCCAGGCATGCTGAATATAGGGGCCGAGTGAATAAGGCGACTTTACGGCGGTCTTTCAGGGCTTCGGGCCAGCTGTTTTGTTCCTTAGCACTGGGCTGCCAGGAGTCATTTTGAAAAACGTCCGGGCATCTAAGATGTTACCCTCTTGGGGAGCCCACGGAGAAGTCAAGGGAGGCAGACTGCCCTTGGCATCTGCGTTAATGTGGACGCTGCTGCCTGTATCTGTTGCTGGCCGGTTTTCCGGGCGCTGTGCCAATGTGGAGTTCATGGCATGCCATGTCCCTATACCACCACTGATATACTTCTTGAAATCTTATGGGGGGGCTCTAGCACCTTAAGGGTTTTGGAGCAATCCGGGTATGACACTAAACCCTGAATCCAACCCGAGACCATACGAAGCCCTTCAAAGACTTTAAAGTCGCCCTCAAACACGGCACAGCTGCAACGATCAGCAGCCAGCTGTAGTACATCGCTTAAATCTTGTAACCCTGTTTAAAAAGGGTTCATTTGGGGGTTTATAGGGCTTATAAGGCTGCCTAAACTTACACCCTATATTGCTGTAAGCCTTGTGGCCATCTTAGGCCCTAACAACCCCGCAAACCCTTCGGCGTGATCGAAGGGCTCAATCCGGACGATCCGAGCCCGAGCCAGATTTCCTTCCCAGATTCTCCAGTCGACCTCGGTTGGAAACCGATCTAGGGTTGGCTTCCGGTTTTAGGGCTTTAGTTTGTCTCATTATTCGGGGTAAGAAGAACCAGCAACTGGAGGACTCTGGCTTAAGTCGCCATCCCCACCTCCTCTTGGAGCTCAGGTTTAAAAGGTCTGGGTTGTGGAGGCGAAGGCCTCCCCCCTCACGCAGGCCCATGGCAGGAGAAAAAGAGTCCTTCTAAGCCACTTACCGAGATGCATGATTTGGTTGCAGTGATTCCCTCAGTCTTGTGGGCCGATGTGCTGCTGCCGCCTTTTTCTTTTTGCGCCGGCACGGACGCTGTGATGCAGCCTTACAGACCTTGCCGCGACTTTGTTGTTGTCCTCTCCCGAGGCTTGAGACTTTGCTGGAACCGTGAATCCTACGCTCACACCTTGCATGAATTGTAGGCTCTTATTCTCTCGCTCTGGAAGTGAATGAAGCTCAAGTTACTTTCTTGCCCTGATTGCCTTGCTGCCTAGAGTAGAAGTTTCCGCCAGAATGCGCCATCAGTCCGACAGCCTTCTTGGAGTGCACCACCAACCCCTGAAGCGCCAAGCAAATGAGTGACAGGCTGGGATTGAGCCTGAGTGGCGGTTCCAGGTGCAACGCCCGAAGCTGGCTCCAGTCAATTCACCAAACATGTCTTGCCTCAGGGCAGCGTGATTGCAGCGGGGATGACGCGGCGACAGTGGTGATGCAGTCCCAACGCTCTAATTCTACGCAGGGTTTCTCAGCTGTAAAGTCGTTATTGATGACGATTCAGAACACCCCAAGGACGGTTTCCGAACCCAGAATCCAATCCACTCGTTGTGTTTGAATTTGGGGTTTCCATGCGCCCATGGGCCTGGACGAATGACGCACACGGAGAAGAGGCAGACGCAGCTTTAGTTTCCTAGTATTTTGGTACATACATGTCGGCATTGGTGGCGCTCGCATTGTGGTTTGGATGCTTGGCCTTCCATTGCTTTCCCTTCATCTTCGCGACTCTCTGTCACTCTCTATTGTGAATGTCGAATATCGACCCAACTCCTTGATCTCCGTCCCATGCTTCTTCGGTTGAATTGATGCAGATCACGTAGTTCCAACCATCATTATCGCGCTCTCGAAAGTGTACAAGTTTTTGACCGAGTTGTCGTTTGCGAGAATGGCTCTGTTGAGCAGCAGGCAAACATGCGATCCTGAGCATGCTTTTTGCCTTGAAGCTCAAGTAGCAACTGCGGATCTGGTCCTTACACAGTCTTGAAACCCATGCTCCCCTCCAAGCCCCCAAAGTCTCCGAAGCCTGCAACATCCGGGAACCCTTCAACTGCCCAGCTGCCCCTGAAGCCCCGAACCCTAAAACCCCCGGAGCCCTTTTGGAAGCCACGCACCTCGGGCAAACAGGGCCGCTTGGTACAAGGAGGGCATCCTAGGCCTGCTGAGTGCTTGGAAGGATTTTGTTCTCAATTGCGACTAGTCTGCAGGTTTCGTTTGCGCTTTCTGCGCTTTTGAGACGTCAGTTGTGATTTTTTGCATTTTTGCACTTAGACTTTGGAAAGGATTCTCCAAGCAGGTGGTGCTTGTCGGCATGGTATCAGGTCTGAGTACGCTGCATCAGCCTGCATGATCCTTGTATAGGCTGCAAGTTATGTGTACCAAGGCGCATCAGCTCTGAACACACAAGTTGGCTGTGGAATAGAGTGTGCTTCACATTAATTAGGGGCCCCAGGGCATATTGTTGCGGTTTGATGCATCGCCAGCCCTTGGCACGGGCGTCCTCTACGGGGCGACCAATGCATTGGTGGGCCACCCCATGGACACCGTCAAGGCCGGTTTTCGTCTTGTAGACTCTAGCCCAGGGATGACGGGAGCCAGTAGGTAATGCAGTTCGTGTCCACGGTGCTGTGGGACACCGCTGTGTGGAAGCGCATCGCTGTTGGGCGCACGCGCCTTCCTTGAAAGCCCTCTTTTGAAGAGCTCCTGCAGGCCAAGATGCAGGCCCAGGTGGGGAGGGTGCCGAGCGTTCAGACTGTTTTATATGTATTTCTATTTAGATTTATATACCCAGAGTCCCATTCTGGGCACCTTGTCCTCTACATGTTAATTCAGTGCCCCCGGAACAAAGCGACCGTAACTTAGAGCTCTGGCTAGATGGGGAGGGCCACCCTCGTCCAGTGTAGGGGCTGCTCTGGATGAACAAGGCGAAGTTGTCAAGAAGGGCGGGTAGGATTCACGAGTACGGCTGCCCTTACTGTATAGGTCGGGGCTTGAGGCAGGCTTGCAGGTTGTAGCCTCTACTCCTAAACCCTCAAGCCTAAACCCTAAACTCTAAACCCTTTGGAACGTTGCAGGCACCCACAGCCGAATGCATCAGGTGGCCCCTACAGGTAAAGACTTAAAGACTTTGGACTCAGATTCCCTTTGAAAGCTTTGTTTTGGGGTCTAGGGGGTTAGCAGAAATATGACTAGCGCCGGCCTCAGCAAGAGGCCCGAGAGGAACTCCAAAGCTTTCGGCGAAGCCCGGCCCTGGCGGGCAGGGGTGCAAAGCGACCGCTGGCGAGGGCTCAGTGTGGGTAGGATCTCCCGACTCCTTGTCTGGGGGTTAGTGTGCTGTCCGCAGACAGACCGTACGAACTTTGCTGCACGGAGCCCGGGGCCGGCAAGCAGCTCCTCGCGAGGCACAGTGTCGAGAGCGGAAGACTTACAAGGAGCTATTGCGGAGTTGCGCGCCAAGGCCGAGACCATGAAAGCTGCGGGTGCAGACATGGAGCAATTCATCCTGGAGCACGTTCGCAGCTTCGTGATTGAGCAAGTTAACCGTGGAGTCGATCCGAATGTGTTGATGGCTGCGGTTCTGGAAGAAGATGCTGTGCCAGACGATGCTGTCACAGAGTCCTTGTGGGAGCTGGATGACAGTGCAGGAGTAGTTCCGGCAAAGTTTGTCGAGATGTTCTTCCAGCCGATGTGGAAGTGGGATTGGGATGAGCTGGAGGCTTGGAGGCACTTGCCATCGACGTGCAAAGCAAAGACCGTTCCTGAGATGCACAGCAGTACCACGAGTCCTTGATTTTTGTGGGTTACATGACCACGAAAAACCGTGAAGCAAGCAAGGACGGCTCTTTGTGGGGTTGTTGTTATGCCAGCCGTTCTCCTTGCCATTCCTCGCCCAGTCTCCTGGCCCGGGTCTCCCATCCCGCCAAGTGTTTTTGGATCACCCCAGAGAATCCCGCAGAAAGTCCTGCCGAGTATCTCTGCAGCGCCCCCGGAGAAACGCACACAGAGCCGCTCCGAGTATCGCCACCCGACAAATCCCGCTGCGTCCACCCTCAACGAACATTGCGGTGAGTCCCGCTGCTAAAAACAAAAGTACCCGCCCCCAGAGAATGCCGCAGGCAATCCTGCCGAACATCTCTGGAGTGTCCGTAGAGAATTTTGCCGAGTATCCTGGTGCGCCCATTTTTCAGAGAATCTCTGCCGTGTCCAATTCATCCTGGAGGCCCTTGGAGTGCCGTCTCCAAACAGCAGCCGCGACAGAATCCTGCGGCGCCATATCCCTCCGTACATGTCCGATAACGGCAGGATGGCTCCCACAGCAATTGGCTGCAGAGCGGGGATGATAGAAGTAAATTTGTATTGTTCTTAATTATGCCGCTGGAACACCTCAGGTTCACAAGCTGAACCTCGAGCCTCTCCCGTCTATGGCCGAGCGAACCAGGTCGATTGGCATTCCTGTGACTGGGGTTGTGGTTCATTAAGTGGATCTCTTTAGGTAAGTGCGTTCTGACAGTATGGACAATGGCAAAGAACAACTCTGGGCTCCTTGGCTATGGTAGCGCAGCAACCCAGGTGAAGGGTCGGGCCCCTCAGCCGGAGGATCCTGTGAACCTCAACCCGAAGCCATCTGAGGAGGTGATGCGACGACTGAAAACCGAGTTGAGTACTTTTTTTGGTGCAGAGGTCTCCTTGCTCCCCGGGGGATCCTCCAGTCGAACCACCGACTTACCATCGAGTGATTGGGACTACTACTTTGAAGTTCCTGGGGTGGAAGTGGATGAACATCAGAGGGACGAGCTCCTGCTGTATCCATCGAAGGCAATGAACTGCACCGCGAAGCTTTCAGAACGGGGGATTGCTATTCAGCTGCAGTGCGGGCTTAGCTTACTTGAGATTGTGCCGAGACACGCTACGTACTTCGACTGGGACCGTGTGGAGTTCCCGCGTTTCTTGGGTTGCCTCAATCGTTCGAAGAATGACGAAGACCTACGACTGTTCCTGGATGACAACCCAGGCGCTCGCATACTCATCCGTGAGCTGAAAGCAGCCTTCAAAGAAGTCGAACCCAAACTTCCCAGCTTTCTTTTGGAGCACTTGGTGAAGCGTATGGCGATGACATGTGTTTGTCATGATCCGTGGCGAGGGTTTGTGACGCAGTTGAAGCTTCCCGAAGCCTTCGATGTTGCATGCCACACCTTGGAAGAGATTGCCACCCAGTCTCAACGAGGAAGGAACCCCGATCCTTTCTCACCACTTCAAGATCTCTGGGAGGACCTGGAGACTGCCGAGCCGCGCCGTAAGCAGCTGGGCCGATGTCATAAGGAACTTTCCGTAGGTATAGGGGTGTCGTATGATAATGGTGACGAAGTTCCTTAGCAAGAGCCCAGGCAGAGCATCCAGGAATCGTGGCATAAGATGGCGAAGCTGGCAGGCGATCCGAGGTGGGCAAACCGATTCTTGGTACACCTGGAGTATCTGATGACCGCTGGGCGTCACAGCTGTGAAACTTTTAAGACCGACCCCTACATCCTTCCGGTTCCTCACTCTGCATATTCGCTGTTCATGGAGTATACGTTAGGGCAAAAGAAGTACCGCAGCTTCTTAGACGTCAACGACCCAGTAGCGCCCTCACAGATGGCTGGGATGACTGCTGTAGACATGAACAAGTATCAGTTCGATCCAGACCAGCGCAAGGCAAGACCCGCCGTGTTTCACGGAGGTGGCACCATCACGGATGACCGAACCTATCTGGAGCGCGTCGCGCTCACAATGGAATTCTTGGAGAGAAATGCACCAGTTTGAGGAGCTGCGCTACATGCAGGATCTACCGCAGCACATGACACCCATGCGGACCCCTATGCGGGACTTTCGCTCGTTCCGACATGCCATCAAAGATTTTCGGCAGGTTGCCCGTGACACTGAGAGATGTCGAGAAAGTCCTTTGAGCGCGGTGAACTTCATGCGAGATACAGACAAGTCCATCCTAGACAGGGACATGGACAGGGACTTTCTCTTGGAACTTGCTGCCTGCGTGCAGGTTGGTATGATGACAAACCAAACTGACAGCCGCTTGGCGCCATTCCTCAACAGCAGATTTGCCCGTCATAGCTTCCAACTGGCAGATTTGTAGGGGCGCGCGGCTGCTTGCAAAATCTGTTCTGGGGCCTTTGCTTGTAAGGCGCCTCAGTCTTGGGATATGTGCCTAGTTTCGGGACTTAAGTTGCTTTTCCAGGAGGCTTGGGATGTATTGGCTTAATTAGTAGGGCGACAGGACTGTTGCGGAGTGCTGAAGCATTGCCTTTGAACATGCCGGGTGTTTCAGCTAGCACAGGGCGTGGCATATGCAACCCTCACATATGGTATAACGGCCCCTGAAAACCCGGGCCCAACGGAAAACCTGAAACCCATAATGCCCCAACCCTGAGAAGCCGGCAGGCTGGCTTCATGACGGGCCAGGCCCGGTTCAGGGTTCAGGGCTTGGTGTTCAGGGCTTAGGGTCTGCAGTCCAGCGTTGGGGTTTGAATGGCGGATTTAGGCGTGGAGGGTTTTTGGTAGTGCTTTGGGGCTTTGTTGCGTTTGGCCTTCGGCGACATTATCACGCCGGCCTTTGAGGACGTTGTGCCACAAGGTCAAACCAAAACTGACCCGTAGAACGAGCGTCAAGCAAGATCACGCAAGAAGCTAGAACAGTCTTTGCCGTTGCCCAAACTGCGTGGAAATCTAGTCTTGGCCACTAAGAAGCAAGGATTGGCCGAAGTGTAGGAGTCGTCGCAGATCGTCTCAAGGGTTTCAGGATCCTTGAATCGTGGAGCCACGCACTTGGCTCAGGCTGAGCTCTTTAGCAGTAGCATGTTAACACAGCAAACAGTTACAAGTTTGTAAGTATAAGTATACGTACCAGCACAATCATAAGCCCAACCATGACTACGAGAGAGAGGGCGAGGGGGAGAGAGAGAGAGCGCGAGACCGACAAGCAAATGCGTGAGTGAAGATGCGTACTACTCCAAGCTTTTCGACTGTTTGTAAAAGCTTATGACTAGGAGCTCCCTTGGGCCCAAGCTTGAAAAAAAAACAGCCCTCAAAGTCCCTTGAAGACGAAACAAGAAGACTCAGTCTTCACGGCCGAAGGATGCCACGAGCCCCGAAACCTTAAGCCCCAATAGCTCCAGATTTGTTGTCCACACCTGGTGGGCCGTGTCAAAGATGCCATGGCGACCCAGGGTGGCGAAGCAGCAGAATCTGAGCGGCCGAGCGTTGTGACGCTCGTCGAGTCACTCCTGGGGGGGGGAGGGTTGCCCCAGATTTCTGGACCCCAGGAAATCAGGGCGCGTTGAGGAATACATATATGCTAATACCATACGGACCCCGAAAAACGCCTCTCATTTTGAAAGTGTTATTTACAATGAAGTAGAATAGGCTCAGGTGGTGAGTATGAAACACAGGTACTACTAAGGAGAAAATGTGGGGATTCTGCGCGTTCCGTGCAAGCAGCTCAAGCCCTGTTTTGCAGATCGCCTCGAGATTCCCATCTCCTTGCAAGCCGGCCCTGGCTTGTGCAGGATGCATCCTACCTGACTCTATAAGACGCGAGACGCGACAGCTCAGAAGGATTCCGGCTCTCCAGGCCACCACCCTTCCGTAAAAACTCAAGTCCTAATGTGCCCTAAAAAGCCTAAGGGCCCCAAAACCGACACGTCAAATCCTTGTTGAAGCCTTTGTCCTAGGAAGCTGAATGTTGGTGGCCGGCACTATGTGGCTGCAGCATCCACGCTGACATCCCAGGCGCATGCCATCTGCCTCAGCTTGAGGACATGGTGGCTGATTTTTTGTAGTACAGACTAAAAAGGGCCCATACTTTCGAACCACTCTCATATATGCCCTCGGGATCCCTCGGGTTGATTGTCGATTACCTGCTCGTGTATTGAAGCATGCCTCGCGGGCAGGGTGGCATGCTGGCGGCAATGCTGCAAGGCGACGGAAGTCTTTGCTGGTGTTTGGGGGGGAAGCAGAGCGGATCCCGAATCTTGCCGTTCTTCGCAGTACCTACGTTCACGCCCCTACTGCACCTTATGATACGCGGGAGTAATGGCAGACCTGGAACACGACTGACGGCAGCCCGTACAGATCCCCAAGTGGCTTCGCACGTCTGTTTGATTGCTTTGCGCCACCCTCAGAAGTCAAAAGTAGGAGTTGGCTGCAGTCCCATTCGTCAGTAGTGTGACCTTACTTGGTTTGGACCTGACGTGAAGACTTAGGAAAAAAACTAAGAAGTTGCGGGTTTGGCGTAAAGACTGCTTCTTCCAGCAGCTCAAGCTAGACTCTGAAGCTCTGCAAAGAACCTAAGGAACCTTCAGCCTACCCTCACACCATGCTTCACGCTCTGAAATCGCTCCGAAAACCCACAAAGCCATCCGATCCGGAGGGCCCTACAGCTCAGCAGAGCTTGTGGACGGCGCGTTCTTCATCGACAGGGATGGGGAAGTCTTCCGCCCCTTCGCCCTGAAGACGCGAGAGTCAAGAATCATGGCCACGTGCTCTTCCTGTACCGGGTGGGGTGGCGTTAGGTGCGGTGGGGTGGACAGTTTCCACCGTTCACCTTCAGTTCATCTGGGACACTGGTCAAGTGAGAAAGCGCTAAGCCCGAAATCTTGATTGTGTCAACCCCAATCTCCTGAAGCCCGGACCCCCAAGCGCGGAGCCTCCGAAGAATTCCCGAAGCCCCTTGAGCGGCGAAACCTGAAAACTCCAACCCCTGCACCCTAAACTGGAAGAACCGCACGCCCCAAACCCGACGACTCAAAACTGAAACCCCAATTCAGACCCAGAAGCTCTGCAGAAATCGCTAGGCCCTTGAACCTTCTCCAACAGCCCTTATGAGCTGAAGTTAAACCCCTCATACCCGCAAACCCTAAAGCCCTGAGTGACCAGGCTACATCCTGGAGTACCTCCGCTGCGGTATGGTGGAGGTACCACCGACAATGCCAAAGGGGCTCTTGCTTCTCGGGCTGATGGCTTGACAGTGTATATACGTATGATATACAGGGTTTGGGGCATGGGGTTGATCTAGGTTTTCGGGGGGTTGAAGGCTTAAAGGGCTGCGGGTCTTGAACGAATCGATATAGGTGTCAATGGTTTTTTGGATTTGGGGTTCAAGCCCTTTCTATCCTTTAGACACCCTCTACAACACCTTACAAAAGTCCGTTTCCACTGGCCCTTAAAGCCTTATCCCTAAAACCACACTTAACCCTGAGACCTCGGCATAGACAAGGAAGAAGATCGAGCGCGAAGCGGATTTCTTTGCTTTTCCCGGCCTTGTCCGCTACATTCGGGAGCGGCTGGTGGAAAAGCGGGCGCCTGGACTGCAGGATTTTGGGTTTTTGGATGTTTCGGGCTTCGGGTGTTTATAAGGTCTAGTATGCTACTTTGAGTAGCTTGGCAGCCCAGTGGTGCCCTTTTCCCTGTTTGGTTCAAGCTTGCCTTATGAGGTAACCAACCCAAATCACCAGTCAAAAATCTCAACCCCCACCTCCCACCCCTACAAAAAGGGTTGTCGAGGAGTTCTGCATAGCCTGGCTTTGCCAGCTAAATGTTTGTGGACTCGCGAGCTCTTAACATTATTTGGGTTCTTAATCAAATCTCTTGCGCGTGAGGAAACACGAGCAGATTGGGTTTTTTTATTAAAATTGTTTTTCGGTTTTATTAAAATTTCGTTTGTTTTTTTATGACCTCAGCCGTTCAAATTTTCGGCTGCCTCAGGGTGAAAAGCAGATCCTTTTTTCCAAACCCTCTTGAAGTGCTTTTGCCGGGGGTTGGGGTTCCAAGTTCAGCGGCAACCAAAAAAGGGTACCCTTACTATAATATACTGGGTTACCAATGTAGTTAGCACAGGCTCAGGCATGTCTGACACCTGTGTCGGTATGCAGTCAGCGCAGTGTCGAAGAAGAAGCCTGCCATTATCCGACTCGAAACTCTTCATCACCAGAGATGCACTCACGTTTGGACCCCAAAGAAGCCTTGCTGATGTGCACTCTTAAGCAAAAGCTTCAAATAGCAAATAGAGGTTACCCATGGTTTCTCCAAATGGGTATCTTTGAAGCTGAATGGGCCTTTATGGTCGAGGGCCCCGAAGCTTCACCTCGGCCGCGCCCAAAAGCCTTACCCTGGGGGTCTTGGAGTCCTAGGGTAGAACTGAAACCGATTCGCAGGTGCGGGTCAGCATCTTTATCGGCAGGTACGCTTGGCGAGGGGCATTTGGAGGTTTAGGCCTCGCGTCGATCAAGCAGGGTGCGGGAGCACCATCGTGATCGTTGTGTAGGGGCCGATGCTCAGAGCTCTCAGCACAGCATTCGAGCAAAAGCATAAGGATGTAAAGGGAAGCAACAGTAGTTCGAGTACTGTTAGAGACACCTGTTGATATTACACGACGTTCAAGCAGTCGTGGCCACACACCGACCATGAGGGCCGTTGAGGTGCTTGAAGCATCTGAAATCGCCAGGTTCATGTGCTCCAACGACGGCTGCAATTGTGGAGCCGGACAGCTTCTTTGACTTGACGTGAGGCCATATGACTCCCTATGCATGGGAATCTGATTCTACACCCTAAAGAGCCCACGCTTCATCATGCATCCTGAAGTTGGTCAGGTCCCCAGCAACGAAGTACTAATGACTAGAATTAGCAGCAGTCGTCGTAGTAGAGGTAGTAGTAGGGGTAGCAGTGGTGGTGAATAAGGAGGCAGAACGATGACACCTTCCCTGTCCTGCAAGGAAAGTGGAGATCAACGAGGTGGAAGGCCTTTCTTTCTTCGATGCGGAGTTCATCCATCCGCGTCAGGAGTGCGGAGCTTTTAGGGTTTAGGGTTTAGGGTTATGCAGATGATTCAGGACCACAAAGACAGATGCAAAAAAGTGACGAGGATGTCCAATAGTACCCTGATGCATCCTGATCCCGTACAGTGCAGGCCAGGCTGCCCTTCACAGTTTCGGCAGCAGTGAGATAGCCCTCGGTTGGCATATCTGCTTTTTTGCTCAGCAATCATCGCCTTCGGTACTTTATTCTTACGATCAACAGCTTTCAGCTCAATGGGTAAAGGAGAGAAGACCTGCGATTGGCGCACCGTCCTGTGTGCTGCATGTACCTTGGCCACTGGACGAAGGCTGTGGTCCGTGCCTGCAGTTGACTCATGTTACGGCATGAAGAATAGCCGCCCCGAAAACGCCACGGAACCCCACTTGTAGACTTCAAGTGAGACAAGCTTACACCATAAGGGCTAGGACAGATATATGATAAAGAGCACGATGACATCCCGATATAATATACCCTAACAAGGCCCTAAAGCATCTGAGATCCTGCTCCAGCTGCAGCCCTCCGCAGATTCCAAGGGCGAGGCTTCCGCAAACTCCTCTGTTTGCCAGTGAGGATTTTAGGGTTTGTGTTCCGGTAGAGCGACCTGCCCGGTCTTCAAAGCTCTGAGCTAGAAACATCAAGCACATTCTGGAAGTGTATGCCATGCTACGCCACTCGTGCGCCAAGCCCCTAACCCTGAAACACAATCAGACTCGTGCCATCAGGCAGAGGGCCGCGAGGGCACTGGACCTGTCGTCCTGGAGCCTACAGATGAGAGCATGGAGCAGGCTGGGAACAGGCTACAGCGGCTTTTACAGGCTGCTAAGAGGTGCTGGGAGCGCATGGAATGGCTTGGAGTTCAGGCATACGAACCCTACATAGAATTCAGTGACCCAAGCCCACGGCTCTTTACAGGGACTTCGTGTCGGGAGCTGCCTTTCGGTTCAGCCAGCCAGTCCTGAACTCTTGTGTTCGTCCAGCACGCCAGGCGACAAGCGCAATCCGTCACGCCCTTCTCTGCAGCGATGAGATTGGACAGTCCAGTGCGGACGAGCTCGTCTCAGACGAGTGGTCGCCGGTACGCAGGGCGCTTCTTGACCTGGAGCCTTGGACACGATTTCGTTGCGGGGAAGCTACGAAGCCATACTCCGCCAGAGTGCGGGTGAATGCAGTTTTCAGTCTTGCAGAGTGCTTGGGTCTGGTGATTCTTGTATTAGCTTGATGCGATAGGTTCGTGAAGCCCGAACCTAGCCCAACTCCGGACCGTTTTCTAAACGAATATTGAACCCCAAAAATTCTTCCAAGGCAGCAAGCGGGGATCTCACCTTTCTCCAATGGCTTGCGCGAGCCGATGAGTACAAGGTGGGCGATCCCAACGATGAGAGGCGGGGGTCAGCCCCCCAAAGTTTGGGCCCAAAGCTCTAGGTTTCGGGGCTTCGGATATATACTTTGGGATGTTCCCCCCCTTTTACTAGCACAGTCCGTAAGAAGGATTAGAATAGGAAGTACTATAATCCCTATTAAGGACTGTTCGGAAAAGGGGGAACATCCCAATTTTCGCTGCTGCAGTCTTGCAAGAATCCACTAGCACTAGGAAGCTCCCCGTGAAAAAGTGACTGAATCCTGGCTTGGGGTGCAGCTTCATGACTGTCTTCTCTTACCCCAGAAGTTCGCGCTGGGCTTTCCCAAGTAAGCACCCCAAAAGCCCAAAACCCAGGACCCTAAACTCTAAACTCTAAACCCTCACCCCCGGAGAAAGGCGATATGAAATCGCAAGTCTTGGCCATGAGGAGTATAAATTCTGCCCCCAGACAGAGCTTTGGCACCTCATCCTTCCCAACAGGTTCCAGTTCGTTCACTACGAGAAGTTTGTGAAGCTCACTTTCGAAGTTCTGCCACGACCGGAGACCTGCTTCGGCGCGACTTCGCCTCGGCAGCCCCCATGAAAACAGAGCGACGCTCAAAGCCCCCCCAAGCTCCAGGCCGAAACCCCGTTTAAAGCATGAACCCCAAACGGCGTAGCCGGCAGCCATGCAGGGGGAGGCCCCCCCCCCCGCCCCCCCCCGCCCCCCCCCGCCCCCCCGGCCCCCCCCCCCCCCGATATTATAACTCTAAGTACGTTGGACTTTGTAGCCCCAAATCGATGCCATTCTGGCCACGCTTGCAATCAGGGGCTCTATTCCCCAGAGCATCCCAAGCTGCAGCGTTCGGAGGAAGCTGGCCCTCCCCGCCCGGCCCAATCCCCCCCCCCCCCCAAAAAAAAAAAACAGAACAAAAATGAAATAAAGGAGAAATAATAAGAGAACAAGAATGCTGAATGTGAATATAGCACGTGTAACGAGATATAGGCCATCATTATGAGTAACTTGGGACAGGGCCATGCCTTGCAGACGACATGAACTTTAAGCTTGGGATCGTACACCCAATGCCATGTACTCTAAGCTCATTTTCGCAGGCGGAGCCCTAAGCCCCAACCCTGGCTAAGTATGAGCCCTATAAATCCCAAGTTCCTGCAGGCCTTTGGGGATGCTTGCCGCACGTGTTGCAGCTTTCGGCTGTAAGCGCAGTGCTTATAAATTGGGGTCTAGGTTACCAGACCTCGTTCACAGGGGTTCGGCCGTATCCTTATTTCTCAGAGTAAGAGGGCAAGCCGTGGTATACATGGGCAACTAGGTTACTCGGTTTTAGGGACTAATGGCGGGGACGCTGATTAGAGGACCTAGTTCTATGTAACACCATGGGTTGCCCTCTGAATCTGAGGACTCATATATGTCATGAAAAAGGCGTGATGTAGGGCAGCGGATTTCTTTGTGACTGCGGCAGGATATGGGCATGCTCGGGGTCTGCCGCAAGGCCGGTGCGCCCAGCCTCCTGCTGCCGCGGTTTAGAACCCAAAAAACCCTGAGCCCTAAGAGGCCGGAACCCTTAGCCTAGACTCCGACCTGCCCTACAGAGCTGCTGGGCCAAAGAGCCGTTTTAGACCGGAATTGCTTCTGAACTCGGCTGGGCCATGCAACGAAACTCATGCAACGCCCCTCAGAGCTCTCCTTCTCACCGACTTGCAGGTCTGGGCCACCGAAGGAATCCGCGGCTTTTTCCGAGGAGCTCTTTCCTCAGCGGCTTCCGTGCTCAGGCGGTGCTTTTGTTACAAGACCGCTGCCTCAAACCCTTCACCTCCGAAAGCCCCAAAATGCCTTCCGCACGAACCCCCCAAACACGCATCCCAAACTCCAGAGCCTCCCGAAATCCAGAAGACCCTCACTCCTATCGCCCTCAGCCCGAATCTGACGCCTCAGCTGAGAGACTGAGGTGGTGCCACCGCTCATGGGTAGCTCCGTCTCCTCCTCAGAGGCTTCAGGGCTTCCACGTGTACTATATGGGTCGGAATACTTACTAATCGTATTCCGGTATTCCCATATGGTCCCTTTTCAAAACATATAGTGACCCCAAAGCCCTATTCTAATATTAGGGTTGTGACTTGTGGTATGGTGCTTAGGGCTTGCGGGGGTGTCGGTGGGGAGGTGTTCAGAATTCGGGTTTAGAAGCCCCTGTGTTTCTAGCGCAGGCAGTATCTTGTCTTGTGCAGTGACAAGCACTGACAGCTGTTTTGCAATTGATCTGACGGTTTTGGTGTTTCGATGATACAGGCAGAGTCTTTGTTCATCTGTCAATGCTAGTTCAAACTAATTATAAAGGCACCTTGACTGCTGCGCGATACAGGCGCAGAAACTCTCAGCAGGTGGACATCTTTGAGATGGACAGCAGCAGCAGCAGCAGAAACTTACATTAGCAGGTAGGTAGGTAGGTAGGTAGGTAGGTAGGTAGGTAGGCAGTTGTTGTACTAGTGGTGCAAGTGGTACTACTAGTCGTCGTAGCAATAACCATACCAGCAGTACGTAGCAGCAGAAGTCGCCGCAAAAACCAAAAAAAACAAGGTGGAAATCCTCCCCCCAAGGTGTATCGATCTGCCCAGTTCGCTGTTTTCGAGGCATCAGGGGATCGGCTGGATCAGCCTTTGGTTTTCAGTAGCCAAGTGACCCCCCGAATCCTGCAGAAGTCGCGTTCTGCAAACCACAAAACTTATACCTCACAGTTGCCAAGCCGATGAGCAAGGAATCAGTGAGATGTGCGTGGCGTCCCCAAAACTGCGGGTGATAACATGCTCTTCTAAGATGGGCAAACTACCTTTGCGAATCGTGGCGCGGGCTTCTTGTGCCGTACTTAATAAAGGTTTCATGGCACCAATACGCAAGATATTCTATGGTTAGGGACACCTGTGAATGCAAGGGCCAGAAACCCACCGGACACACTCCGTATGTCGGCCTCGGTTTTTGTTCGGACTCCAGGCTCTAAGGATTCTTGTGCTAGGGTTCGGCTGGGGACCCAAGACCATACTGCACTGAATCCGAAACTAAGGGGCCTAAGCGGAATATTTGGTTGCCCCAGTCCCTGACATTGTGGGGGGGGGGGGGGGTACAATGACCGTCCGAATAGTGGTGATTGGGCTTAGGGGTAAAGGGCTGAGGTCTGAGTGCTTCAACATAGCTGAAAGAGTCCATTTTCACCAAGCTGCAGCAGCAAATCGCATCCTAGACTTCTACCTGCCCTTGCGCTGCCTCACTTTTCGGTCCACAGGGCCTAAGCCCAGCAAGGAAGGATGCATATCAGGTTTAGGGTTTAGGGCTTTTTGGAACTAGGATTGAGGTTAGACCTGTTTGTGTTTGGAGCTTCGGGTTTTAGGTTTGAGTCCACAGCCACAAACATAAAGTACATTCTTTGCCACTAAAGAGTGTCCCTTATATTTGAGTCCACCCTACGCAAGTATTTCGTAGGCCCAACATACACTTAAGCACCTCAACCTAAGCCCATCCTTCCCACGGTGTTTGCTCCAAAGCCCTAGAACGCCGGCAGAAAGCCCTGGCGCCCTAACCCTTGTGGACTTCCCTGTTTAAACACCGCCAAGAGTCGCCATGTGCGACAGCTACTCCTCCATGGAGGACATGGGCTTTAGCCGTGAGGACAGCGTCTGGAAAGCCGAGGAGCGTCCCTCCGTCTGCGCGGCTTGGCATGAGTAGGTTGCAGGACCTTTGGCTGCTTCTCTTGGCTGTAAGGCTGCTGTGTTGGGCTTATAGTGCTCAAGGTAAATGGTGGTTGGGGGCAAGGAGGACTGCTTAAATGCAACAGATAGTTGGGCTTACCTTGCAGAATGCTGCTGTGAGATCCTGGACAGATCTGGGGTCTTGAGGCCTGGTGCAAGCCTGATGGGTCATTCTTTCTTTCCGCTCATGTGATGGTTGCCTTCATGGCCAGTTTTGCGTTACGTGTGCCTGTCCTCTTAACCTGAAGACTCTGGGCCTCGCGAGATCTCCCCTCTCGGTCTTCCATGTGTTGGAGTTTATGGGGTCTACCCTGACCCCGCAAATAAGCCTGAAGCCGAACCTGGACCTCAAAAAGCACCTACACCCGATACCCGACAAGCCCTGAAACGCTAAAACCCCAAGCCCTCGAATGCGGCCAAGGCCAGCCTTCGCATGGCACTGGTCATGGGCGTAGCTGTGTTGCCGGGTGCGCTGGTGTTCCTCCTTTGGGGCTACTGGAGCCCCGAACTTGATTGAGGGAGGGTGGCAGATGGTTTGGGGTGGGGGGGTTAGGGCTTATGGGCTTCTTTTTTGTCCGGGTGTGGAGCTCAGGGCTAGGGATCGTTTCAGGGACTTAATGGCTTCTGTACCATCACTCAAAGGCCTTGAACTTCCCCAAACCCACTCAATAGCCTTGAAACAGGGCTGAGGAGGCAGGCAATGGTGTAACCTTCGGTGGCAAAAGGTCCCATCAAAGTCTCAGTCATTCGGGGAACAGCGCTACCTCCCAGGAATCTCTCGACATCACTGTACCTGTTGGGGGATCGTCCCTTCCGGACTTGGCCGATGGACTTGCAGCGGCTCGAAGACGATTACAGCAGCATTTGGATGTTGCTGAACACCCATGCAATTTTAGGGGGTGCGGTTCTGGTGCTTGGACGTTAGAGGGGTTCATAAACAACAACAACAACAACAACAACAACAACAACAACAACAACAACAACAACAACAACAACAACAACAACAACAACAACAACAACAACAACAACAACAACAACAACAACAACAACAACAACAACAACAACAAGCGGCTAACCAGGGGTTTTGCGATGTTGTGTCAAGGAGGGACTGAGACCTTACTGCGCCGGGCCGATAGTTCGACCCACCAACATCTTGGGGCTCTTACACCCATACCCCGCCCTCTTCCCCATAGACTCCTGACACAATGGGGCTGGGGGCCTCCTCCGGAGCTACTATAGTACTATATTTTCAAAACGGGGTATTCATTTCTCCGCTAGCAGGCGTAGGGAAAACGCTACTTTTCGGCACTCCGCTACTCGGCGGGAGCCTTCACATCCAACATGTGCCGTGGGTCGAAACTTTCGGCCCGGGGGTGCCTTCCGTAAGCACTTTTTGAAGCAGACACTGGCCACCAAAACGCATGCTGCCTTCCGTAAGCACTTTTTCAAGCAGTCCGTAAGCACTTGTGAAGCAGACTCTGGCGACCAAAACGCATGCTGCCTTCTGGAAGCACTTTTTGAAGCAGACTTTAGCCACAAAAACGCATGCTCTGCGCGATGTTGACGCCGGCCAGGTCCTGGACGCCGGATTTTTTAGTGGAAACGGCCTTGTGAGGAGCATGACCAGGAATAAAGTTTCGTCGCTCTTGACAAGACAAAGTTGACGGAGGACAGCGGAGTATTGCATCATGGTTTTGTTCTAGCCTGGCCAGCGGAGGAATTAATCCCCTGGAATAAACTTATACTATTTTTAATGTTCCGGAGGAGGACCCGGCGCTCTTGGAGTGCAGGAGTCTAAGGGGGAGAGGGGGTTTTCTGCTATCTTCTTGTCTTACGTTGTGAGTGCGACGAACTTTCGGCCTGGCGCAGCATGCGTTCGGGGAGCACTGGTCTTGCCCAAACTTCAAAAAGGTGGGATCTTTTTGAAGCAAACTCTGGCCACCAAAACGCATGCTGCCTTCCGTAAGCACTTTTTGAAGCAGACACTGGCCACCAAAACGCATGCTGCCTTCCGTAAGCACTTTTTCAAGCAGTCCGTAAGCACTTGTGAAGCAGACTCTGGCGACCAAAACGCATGCTGCCTTCTGGAAGCACTTTTTGAAGCAGACTTTAGCCACAAAAACGCATGCTCTGCGCGATGTTGACGCCGGCCAGGTCCTGGACGCCGGATTTTTTAGTGGAAACGGCCTTGTGAGGAGCATGACCAGGAATAAAGTTTCGTCGCTCTTGACAAGACAAAGTTGACGGAGGACAGCGGAGTATTGCATCATGGTTTTGTTCTAGCCTGGCCAGCGGAGGAATTAATCCCCTGGAATAAACTTATACTATTTTTAATGTTCCGGAGGAGGACCCGGCGCTCTTGGAGTGCAGGAGTCTAAGGGGGAGAGGGGGTTTTCTGCTATCTTCTTGTCTTACGTTGTGAGTGCGACGAACTTTCGGCCTGGCGCAGCATGCGTTCGGGGAGCACTGGTCTTGCCCAAACTTCAAAAAGGTGGGATCTTTTTGAAGCAAACTCTGGCCACCAAAACGCATGCTGCGCCGGGCCGATAGTTCGACCCACCAACATCTTGGGGCTCTTACACCCATACCCCGCCCTCTTCCCCATAGACTCCTGACACAATGGGGCTGGGGGCCTCCTCCGGAGCTACTATAGTACTATATTTTCAAAACGGGGTATTCATTTCTCCGCTAGCAGGCGTAGGGAAAACGCTACTTTTCGGCACTCCGCTACTCGGCGGGAGCCTTCACTGTCTGCATGCCATCCAACATGTGCCGTGGGTCGAAACTTTCGGCCCGGGGGTGTATGTTCGAAACTCCAATTGGTCAGTTATCTCAAGTTAATAAAGGCCGTTTTGTGTACCTCAAATTAAACGTGCACCCTACAAGAGACCATATTTCCGAGAATTGACCTCAGTTTCAGGCTTTGTTTCGAGATGCACGAACCTCCCCCTGGAGTTCAGCACCTTCACCTCAATCACCTTATAACCCTGAGCCCAAACATCCCAAAACCCCCAAAGCACGCCGAAGCCAAGGCAGTTCTTTATAGCATATGTTGGTTACTCATACGGCCTCAGAAGAACGAAGGGGAAAGAATGACGAGCTTCTACGATCGGTTCACAAAGCCGAAGCAATCAAAGAGGGCCCCGGGCCCCATCAGGTGGGCGCACATCTTCAGTGAGGGCCTTAGCGATGGCTACATCATGCTGCTGCCGGAGACTGGCCTGGGAATGATTCATATTGCGAGGGCTCAAAGAGCTTGACTTCGGGTAGCATTCAGGGCCCATTTGTTTGGGGATGAAACTTAAGGATGAGCAACTAGGCTTTTCCAACCAAGATCTCCGGTGGCTTGCTTTTTGTCATGCTTGCACTGGTCGGTTCCAAGTGCCTACATGGGTTGCAAGTTAAAACAACAGGTGCGCTTGAGGTTTCGAGTTGTTGATGCTACCGCTTTAATGCGCCCCCTTCCCCCACACCAAAACAGTCAGGCCATCAGCCTGGGTGTTAAACGTTCAACCCCTCAACTGCAACGACTCTAGAAGATCTTCCCTGCCTAGCAACAGAAGTAGGCGGCGCTGAATCCGAACATCTGTGGCTTGAATCCACTTCCATGATCGGAGGAGCTCCTTGTGTGGTCCCTTCAGCCCAAGGGTGTTTCGGACCGCCGGGCTCTGCGCTGGAACGCGCTGTTTGCGTGCACCCCTCTGGTGTACCTGGTGGTGATGAAGGCCAGGAAGTGTTCTGGGATGGCTGAAGCCGGTTGTGGAAGTTTCGGGGGTTAGTGGTGAATTCTGGCTGTTAGCAAGATCTTGCTTCATCCGTCTGTTTAATTAATACTCCCACATTCAAAGAGTTTTTTTCGCCGAGAAGCCCGCCGGAAGACTACTTTGCATTACGGTGGATTTCGTGTGGGCCAATACCACCACATTTAAAGAAAATGTTTTCGGGGGGGTTCCAAAATCTATCAAAATCTGTCGGCAGCCTTCTTGTTTTGCTTGCTGAGCTGCGAAGCTACAGCACCTCAGGGATCTGCGGCCTATTGTTTTTAGTAGAGAATCAATACAGAGCCATGGTCTTACTATTGCGGAACCCGGCCTTTCTGATTGCGGTGGGGGGGGGGGGGGGGGCCAATTGAACAGGTGCTCGGATTAGGGTTTAAGGTTTAGGGTTTAGGATTTAGGGTTTTGGGGTTACAAGATGTTGTTGCGGGGAGGAGCAAAGGTTTAGAGCTTTCGGGCATGGATCTCTTAGATCATTGGCCACTTTGCGCCGCCCAAACGCAGGTGTGCCTACCAGAAGCTTCTGTCAGGGTTTATAGGGTTTAGGTTTAGGGATGTTTATGGTTTAGCCCTGAAACCCAAAAAGGCTCCACATCCGAGCCCTGAGCCCAATTCCTCCCTGCAGCGGACGCAGCTCAGGTCTGGGACATGTACGATCCTGAGGATCTCGTCGTGCACCTGCCCTTGAGCCTCGGCCTGACACTTGAAGCGGGGGGGGGAGGAGCTTGGAGGTGCGATGATGGTGGAGGGAGGGCTTCAGGTACATCCTTGCGCTTGCTCTTCCGGGCTTATCTTCCTGTGGGACTACCATTGCAACACGCGTCAAACAAATTGGACATGCATCGCCTTTAGCCCTGCTTCAAATTTCTTCATCTGCTCCTAGCCGTCCTAGCATGGTTTTTTGCAGTTTCACGAACAACTTCAACAACCAGACATGGGTTTTCCTTCCCTTGAAGAAGCCCGTCCTTTCAAGTCTGTGCTCAAAGTCAGACCAAACCACGTTGTTGCCTGAAGTGAGGTCGCACAGTCAAAGTTCCTGTGGAGGTTGCAATTCATGTGCATGTCCAGCACGGTCTCTCTCTAGTTCGTTGTTGATGTGCCGCTCTGTTGTAGACCTTGTCCTGAGTGACTCATGCAAGGAACGCGCTGTGGTTCATCTCTGTTGGTGCAAATGCAGCTGCGTTCAGTATGGAGACGGGTTCGACACGTCGGGAGGCCGCATCGATTGCTGGTGCCTTCATCTTTGCCCTGGTTCCACCGGTGCTGACAGCAAATGCCATCTTTGACCCTTCGGTGCGGAGTTGAGCCACCTTGAGCTTTTTTTGTTAGCACAAACCCCCTTAATCAACACGCAACGGTTAATAAGGCTTTTCTCGCCCTAGGGCTACAAGGGATGTCGGCCGGTAAGGATCTACTGTTTCCAACATATATTTCCTCCGACTGCTCCTTCCTGCACAAGGGCTTCGTGGTGGGAGTCATCGTCCCATCGTCCTTCTTCTTCTCCCAGTTCTGTTCGCGCCAGGCTTGTTTGATGATCATGGGCCCGAACCGCCACCCTGGCAAAGTCGCTCGGTTGCTCACCTTCTCTATGATCCTCGAGAGCTTCGCTCGAAGGATACTGCTCTGTGGGGTGCAAGACCTCCGCCTCATCTTCCTGTCGAGCCTCGTACTAGGCTGGTGATTCGCCCTCAGACCAAAATGTATGGGCCGATGAAGACATCTTGTAGCGACAGATGGCTCAGAAACAATTGCCCTTACACAGCTTCTCTAGCCCCTTTCGGTCAATGTAGGGGATTTCGAAGGGGTTGCTTCCCTGCAGGTGTGGGGGACAGCGTTGCCCAGATCTCGGTGGATTTGCGAGATGGCCTGGTCTACTCCTGCGTGAAATGTGCCTCGGACTTGTTCCACCTAAAAGCCCCCTCCCTGCACAACAAACCCCCCCCCCCCCCCACTTAACACCCCCGAAGCACGCAATAATAAGTTCCGGCCGGTAAGGGGACGAGAAACCCAGCCCCAAACCAGCCCAAACACAAATCCCTAAACCCTACAAGTCCGAAACCACCCAAAACCCCTAGGTGCGTATCTAAACCTCCAAACCACAACTACCCAAACCTGAAAGCCCTTAGCCCCCTAACCCCCTACACCCTGAACCATCAACTACCCTCATTTTTTAACAGCTCATAAGCCTAGGTGGTACTTCCGACTACCGGCTCTTCGAGCATCCCGGGCGGCGACGCCTCAGAGCCGATGCCCTCCTCTTGCACCGCCCGCACGCACGATTTTAGGGCTTGGAGATTCGGGATTAGGGTTTAGGGTCTACGGTTTAGGGTCTTGGGTTTTGGGTTTTACGAGGTTTAGCAGGTTTGGGTTTCGGAGGTCTAGGATGTCTAGGATACGGGTCAAGCTCCTCCAAGACGGACCCTCAAAGCCCGATAGGAGCGGTGCTATAGTTCGCAACCGTCTCGGAACTTATGGGGTTCGAACGGCCTTTAACTGGATGGACCATGGAGTAGGAATCACTCACAAGAGGAATCCCTACCAAAAAGAGAACCTACCATATGAAAGTATGGTTTTATTGAGACGAGGTAGTTTTGTTCACCATATCTACCTGCAAGTAAGGCCTCCAGCTTGTGAGAACCAGTTGAGACCCAGGCACTACATGAGCGAGCACCTCGCCATCGTGTGCTTGTCGGGCTTCGCAGTTCCTTGGTGGTTGCCGTTTACTTTTCTGTTTTCGAAGCACTCCTTTTTTACCCCAAGCCAGAGATTGTAAGTCCCCCAGGCCCTGCCTGCTCAACCCCTAAGCAACCCGAATTTGAAGCCCCTACACTTGTGAACTTCGAGCCTGAATTCCCAGACTTCCGGACCAGGCCAATAAAAACCCCAAAGTCCTTCAGAAAAGTGCGAAAGCTTCAAGAGCCTTGGAATCCTGGAACCTCACTGAGGTTCTGGAAGATCCTAGCAAAAGCCAAGCCTCGATCCCTAACCTTCTTGTTTTTCATTTTGGGTTGTTCGGTTTAGGGTTGAGATTTGTGGGAGGGTTTAGGACTAGAGTTTGGCATCCGCAAACACACAATTTTCATAGCAAGTTCATCACAGGACCGGACAAACCTCTCGAACCCTTCCACCCAAGGACCACGAACCCCCAAATCATGAACCCAAGCTTCAAACCAGAATCCCACGTGCCCAGGTTCTGGTTCAGGTGATCAACCTCAAGCGGCCTTTGCCGTCGGTACTTTGGTCCCTGGAAGCGCTGGCTCTACAGATGGCGGTGCGGCTGGTCTTCGACCTCGTCGTCTTCAGCACCGAGGGACAGGCGTTCCAGGGTTCGGGGGGCCTTCAGGGGTACCCCCTTGAGGATGGAAGGTGCAAAGGCTTGGGGCCCAGAATTTTCTGGTTTAAGTACTAGACAGCTTACAGGAATTCGGGCTTTACGGGGGAGGGGGGCCGGGGGCTTGTGGTTTTGGTTCCCTCAAAGCCGATCGTCTTGATTGAAGGCTCTCAAACCCTCAGAAGCCAAACGTGCCCCTCCCCACCCTAAGCCTTGAACCCCGAACCCTGAGCCCTATATGCAAACTCCCCCTCCTCCACCCGCCTTTGGAGCCACAAAGGTTGGCTGCATCGCTCGCGCTCTCTTCCGGCTTTCGCGATGGCATGGCATCCCAGTCCTGGAGGCGGAAGGGGGGGAGGGGGGGACGGGAGTGCAGAGTTTCGGGCTTCAAAGGGTTTCAGGGTTTTGGGTTCGGAGTTGTGTTCTAGGTTGGAGCTCATCCTCGCTTCCTAGCGTTGTGTCCGGACGTGTGGCGCCGTGGGAAAGAGGACAATCCAAGAGGCTCCTTCGTAAGTTGATGATTGCACTCGCAGAATGTTTCCAAGCCTTTTTGGCCTTAAGCTGCAACTGCATTCTCCACCCACCCTGCTGCAGAAGTCCCAAGCCCGAAACCCTAAACACGAGGTTTGGCGGAAATGCCGTCGAGAGCTCCTCTTCTTCTCGATGCACATGGCCCTGACTGCTGCTGTGTATGGCCAGTACTTCTTCAAGTCCTTCTTCCAGAAGTCTCTGGCTTATGCTGAGATGCATACCCCCGGATCCCATTTGGGGAACCTAGGGCTCACGGAGTAGTTTTACACTTCCAAGAAGACACGCTGAGGGGCGCCGGTTTCTTGGCACCCTCAGTCCGAGCAGGTTTGCCTTCAATCCAACAGTACCTTCTAACAGCTTATATCAGATTCATGAGACAACAGTACCTTCTAACAGTTTGTATCGGTTTCACAAGACCAAAAATAAGTGACCTTCTTACATTGCCCTTTTGATTTCCCTGGTCAAGCCTCAAGATCTGGGAAGCCTCTCCCTCCTCTGCATTGGCAGCCCGAGCCCGGGCTGCCTGGCCTTCGCAGCACAGGGCCACAGGGCCCTGTCACGCAGTTTGGTTGTTTTTTGGGGTTTAGGGTTTAGGGGTTCAGTAGGCCAAAAGCCAGGAATGTGTGGGAGAAAAATATAGGGGCCACGTCGTCATCGGGTTCTTGGGTAAGTGTCAGTTTCGTCAAAGATACGTTCACACAGGGCTTGTACAGCAGCCTGCAAGGGCGCGCCTATGTGCGAATCTGCGCAGACCGCGAGCTTCAAGCCGTCGAAATGAGCCGTGCCTTCAACAACTGGTGCACCTAAGTAACCCCGCCCCGAGTGCCGTTTAAGATGCATCGTTTGAAGCTACCCAAGAACAAGCTACCTTGTAAGTCCTCATTCAAGGGAGTGCTTGGAGGTTGTAGGTGGACAGGTGGACATTGTCCTTGCAAGACATGAGCAAGCTGCCCTGAGGTTCCAGGTACGTTCTATAACAAGGAAGGGTTGAGCCACTTGTGTTTGTCCCTTCAAAGGTCTCAGAAGTTCTTTCTGTATAAGCCTAAACCCGAAGCTCCGAGGTACCTACTATATGGGAGCATGAGCCCCTGTGCATTCTGCTAGTGAAGCCAGTCAGGGGCTTTGCCTTGAGCTGCCATGATGCGATAACAAAAAGTAGAATTTGTTGCTGACGCTTCGCAGGCCGTGTACACACGTGAGAAGGAGCTGGGCTGGGATGAGGCCGGTGAAGCTGCAGATTCAGGACGTGGCACTCAGGGCGTTTCGGCTTGTTGCCTCGCTCGATATACGCCGCAAAACTATACATCTCTCACATGTTCAACAGCTTCGTTACCACTATTTGGCGGTGGCAACCATGAGCACAGCTTGCACGGCATTGTAGGACGTATAACCTATGGGACGTCGACGGCTGAAGGCTGTAGCACCCGTTCTGCAACATCTCTTAAGGCTTCCAAGACAGTACGAATGGCAGTACGTCGGGAGCACCAACAGATCGAAAGACAGAGACGTGAGTGACCATTGAGGCTGACCGACAGATAAGAGCACATGTCCTCTCAGTTCAGTCATGAAGCAGCGCTTGCAATGGCCCGCGCGCTCCAGGCTGCACAAAGTTTGGCGATCAGCCATCGTTCCACTGCTGGCGATAGCGCCCATGCTTGCCTTTGCCGGGCAGACGCCGCAGCTGTTCTCATATCCCAAATCGCACGCCAGTCACACCGTGCACAGCCCAGGCCGCTTGCGACCTGCGAGTGCGCAGCGCGACTGCCCGGTATATGGCCGGTTTCCTGATGTCGACGTGGTCAGTCTCCACTGGCACACCGAACCACTGCAAGATCAGATACCGGTTCCTGTGCTTGCACGCGTCTGCCATTGGGCGAGCACCAAGAAGGTGTTTTCTAAAAGGAAAGATCTTCCCGCCTCCCGCGATATGTACCACTCGACCGTGTACGTGATCGTTTCCAAGGACTTATTCTTTCAATTTAGAGGCTTGATCCAGAAGTGGTTTCCCTCAACTTCAAAACGGTGGCGAAGGGCACCACGGCGACGCGTCTTTAGATGGTTGCTGAAACCTTTCATGAAGGGCACCCGGTGTTTGGAGTGCACATTCGGAGCCGATTTAGACTCCACTGGGCAGAACCTCTGGGTGTGTCCAGTGCAACATCCTCGTGGAGTTCTGCAGAGAAGTTGTGAGATTAGCGCTCCGTACTCCAGCCTGCAGATGAAATTGCAGGAGTGGGCCCCAAAAGATTACAGCGCAAATCCGATCAAGAAGGCCAACTGCAATCAGTTCGCAAGAGAGTGCTTGCTCTGGGGTGAGGAGCAACCGATGGTCAAGATGCATTGAGGCCTTGTCAGTGGCAATCTGTGAGCAGCTCCTTCCACCAATGTTTTGTGTGTCACTAGCATTTATAGCAGCTGTTATTGTGCCGGTGACCGCCAACGATATTCGCGCTGCAGCCGGTGTAGCCCTCCACTGGCCGCCAAGAGCGGTGTACAGGACAGAGGATGGAGCGTTCCTAGGCGAAGCGTTTACAAGCCTTGAGAGTTGTAGGGTTTTAGGGTTTAAGGTGAGGAGTGCAGGGTGTTTCGGATTTTTGAGGCTTCAGGGCTCTCAGAGTTGTAGTAGTTCATTCAGGCTTGCCGGCATTCTAGGATTCAACACTCGATCATGATTTGAGCACACAGCTGGTCTCACATCAGCTTAGCGCTTGCAAGAACAGTCTGAGCCACTTGCCGGGCATGTGTCTTGATAGGGTCTCTAGGTTTAGGCTTTAGGCTCCAAGGAGCTGCACACGCCGCAGCAGCACCACGACTATTTAGAGTTGCCCCATGTATTTGGATGGATAGATGGGTTGGCCTGCTGGGCACGGCGGCCTACATTGGCAACACTTTGCCAGCCAGCAGTGGAGACAGCCGATGTTGATGTTATTTTGCAGTTAAGCCCTAAAGCTTCACCCGAAACTCCGAATCTGAGGTGAGAACTCAGAGTCAGCTTTGGTGGTGTTCTGAAGCTGCCGTGCACATCCCAAAACCGAAGGTGTAAACCCAGGTAACCCCTACTATAACTCATCGGAGAAAAACTCCAACACTAAGCACAGCTCGTTTTCCAGCCCGTGGCAGTTTCGACTCCCGGGCACCGGCGGCCTTGCAGCGGCAACAGCCAGGGGCCTTGGCTTGCTTAAACACATTCGCGATTTAAGGGCTTAGGGTTTACACAGATCTAGGGATAGGGCTTACGCAGATTGAAGGGCATTAAGGTTTAGATACAAGGTCTAGGAGTCCAAGGGTTTTCACACAGGCTTCTGGTCTTGCGGCTGCGAGTTTCGATTTTGGGGCTTCAGGAGGGGTTATGGCCCAGAGGCCCTTCGCGGCCAGCGACCTCCCAAGGGCTTTTGAGCTCCTCTAAGGCCGAAGGGGCGCAGGGCTGATAGGCTTCGAGAGTTTTGTCGGAGTAAAGTGTAAAGGGCTTGGGAGAGATATATGTGTATATATATATATATATATGGGTGCGGCTCCAAAGTCTAGATATGTAACTGGCTCCCGGGCGTCTTTCAGCGACATAGGGTTTGTAACAAAGCCATTCTGCTTGCGACAAGCAGCGTGCGCGACAAACCTCCGCAACAAGCCTCCGCGACAAGCCTTTACGACAAGCCCCTTCTTGGAACTGCAACCCTCGACTACGCAGGCATGTAGACAGCGCGCGAAACAGCCGCGACAAACCCCGCGACATACGTATGAAACAAGTGGGCGCGACATACGTATGTAACAGAGGCGGGGGTCGGGACACCGCGAGATACCCCTATTTAGAGCCACAGCCATATATGTATACACATATACATATATATATATATGTATAATGTATTATATTATGTAACATATTATATATAGATATTTCTATTCATTTATATTTGTTTATTTATGTACTTGTTTATTGATTTAGATGTATTTACTCGTTTATGTATATGATACATCTATATGCCCCAGGCCCTAAACCATAATCAGAAGCGGGTCAAGCTTCTCATTCCCAGAGGCCTAAACCCCCTAGACGAAAGGAAAGAGACAACAACACGGCCATCCACGAAGCTAAAAAAGCACACTGTTGATGCCACTCTGGCCGAGAAACAGGTCTTTGCCGGCGTTTGTGGCTCCTCGGCACGCGCTGTGATCGAGTCGCCCATAGAATATGCCAAGGTGGGACTTGGTGGGGTTTATACTAGTACAAGATTTGGCTAGTTATGGTTTTCGGGAGGGGGGATGTACAGGGAGCAGCTCGTTTCGAGAAGGTTATGAGTGAGCTACTCAGCATCGCCTGGATTTGGAAGACGACTGTTAGTATTTCCGTGCACCCTAGACTTTTGGGAAATGCGAGAAGATCATCATGCGCAAATCGAATTGGAAGGTGAAGCGGCAGACTGGCCAGACTTGGCATTTGAACGAGGTGGATGGGGCTCTGAGGTTTAGGGGTTGGATTCAGGATTCAGGGTTCAGGGTTTAGTTTTGGGGCTCTAAACCCACACAGGCAGTGACAATCGTGGTAGCTACATTTTGTGGAGGCCCGTTTGCATACTTCGGCTTCCTATGTCCTATGCATGTAGGGCACCCAAAGGACCACAACATCTACTTTCTGTTTCGGTGTCTTCAGAATCCGTCGCCGCCAAATTACATGCTCATTTCAACACAAGGAAAGGAGCCGCAACATTAGATTCCGGGAGCTGTCAGCTATCCGAAACCATTCCAAAGGCGCCGGTAGACGAGCTCGAGGAAGGTTCGTACTTGTCCGCTTCCCCGTCCAGGCAGTGGAGAAAGCTCTTAAGAACCCCCTGTCTCCGTGCCTGCAAGCCCCAAGCCCAAAGCAGCGCGCCTCAGCTCGCTTCACCTGACGTTTCAGCATCCACGCCTACCCTTCAGCCGCTTTCGTAAATGCCAGCTGGGGCTCCACACGGAGGTATGGCTCTATGAGCGAAACCCTCAACCACAACGTCGAGAATTGACCATATAACCTGCGAAACATGCACAGCAAGTCTGCCTGCATAATTACCATCGGTTTCAGTATGTGGTGAAACCAGCCTCTTAAACCCTCCGGTCCGAATCTGTGCAGATGCCCTTTGATTTAGCCTCAACTTTTCAAGCTTTGTCAGCAGGAGTTGTCGGCAGGTTTACCAGGGCTTCTTCATGCAGCTGCCTCGAACAGCGTGGGGCTTAGTTGCGCTTCTTGCCCGCTGGACCGCACTCAGGAGTCTGCAGCAACCCTGGGCCTTGAGCCCTGAACCGCAAATTCCTGCACAACTTTGGATGTTTGATGAATCCCCGGGATAGGTCCAGATAGGTTTTTCATTATCAATGATAGAACCCATGCTACGAATCCGTATGGCACCACAGAATTGGTCATGTTATGGCATGTTGCTTTCGGCTCAGTACTTCAGTGGCGACCAGCCTCCTTTTGTGATCGCGAAGCCTTATAAGGCTACGGTGCTAATTACATTGGATGCCCAGCTTCTCTGAGGTCGGAATGATGACCCTCATCTTCTGCGGGGTAGACAGCGTCCGGCGCTGGAGTGATGGCACGCCGTCACGTTTTCCGCACGTGGCGCTGATTCCCGGGTTTCGGGTCAAGGGCAGGTTCGACGACGTGCAGGTCAAGCTCAACCATCAAGAGTAGTGGGTGGCAATATCAACCCCACGAGGCCCATAGGCCTTAGGCCTTAAAAATCCTGCAGGCCCTAGTAGCCGACACTCGCTATGAGACCTCACAAGCTTATTACGCAGCTTGCCAGGCGAAGCCTTGAAGAGACCCCACTGGCAGTTTCTCTCCTGGGGCGGTGTAGCCACAGCCTTGGCGTTGTGATGTAGGGCTTTTGCGGCATAGGGTTTGTGGGGAAGTTGTTTTGTTTTTTCGCAGGGTCCCAGTCTTTCCTGGGACTCCTTCTAACCTAAACAAAAAGGTCAGCCTTTGTGTAATTGAGGTTGATGGGGCAACTCAGATCAGGGTCCCTCTGTTGCATTCCAAAAAATCAAAGGGATCCCTCATGTGTCGGTTTCCCTCGCATGCTTTGTGATCAAAACCAACAGTAGCAGTCCCGGGGCTGCAGCGCTCCGGCTCGGCATTTTGGAATTAGGGGTTTTTGGGTCAGGGTTTATGGGGCTTAGGGATGTTTAGGGGCTGGGGTAAAAGTTGCCTCTAAGACTCTATGGCTGGAGCATTGATCGCCCTTCGAGCTTCGGCGTGGGATGCCTCGTAGACCTCCGACATGCAGCCCTCCCCTAGGTCCCTGAAACCCACTCTTAAGGTGGTTTGCTCAGGAATGTTAACGTCGAAATCCCGCATGGCCTAATGGGCTTACTTGGAGAGCTACTCAAAGATTGGGGGCTTCTGGGCAGCGAACAAAGGCTCCCTTTTGATTCACTTCTGCCTTCAGGCGAGCCTATAGGGCCCTAAACCCCTCAACCTAAGCCCAAACCCTAAACCCCTCAACCCTAAACTCTAAGCCTGAACCCCCTTTGGGTTTCACGATTTCTTCACCAGACGGCGCCCCCGCTGAGTCGATGCTCAGCTTCTGGGCCATCTGGCCGCTGGAGACGCTCAAGAACCAGGCCCTGCGTGGTTCTCCGGCCCTTATAGGGTTTAGGGCCGTGAAGTTATAATGTTTGTGGCTTGGAAGGTGTAGGACTTGGGGTTATAAGTTAGTGTTCGGGGGTTGGAAGGTGTAGGGTTTAGGGTTGTAAGTTATCAGCTTTGGGGGGTTGGAAGGTGTGGGGTGTTACAGGTTGGCAGGGTTTATGGCAGCCTTGTAGACGAAGATCCCGTCGTGGTGCCTTGACATATCGATTCCGGATCGCTGTTGTGGCTCTCCTTCATGCCAGGTCTCGCCCCCTAGGTCGCATGATGAGGGTAGCTGCTCGTCGGAGTATCAATGCTTCTCGTCCCGTCGCCCTTCCCTCACACTTTACAGTACAACTGCTGAAGCACTAGAGTCGCTAGACGCTCACGAGACACAGTGACCCGCTTCAAGTCACTCTGCAGGTGCAAGCAGGTACGGTCATTGAGGGCATTGCAGCTCCAACCATCCGGTGCCGCGTCAGCAAAGAGCCATACAATAGCTGAGCGGCTTGAGGGCTTGAATAGCTGAGCGGCTGAGGGTGTTTTTTGGCTTCTGGCATTTAGGGCCCAGGCTATGGCATTGAGGGTTAGAACATGTGTTAGACCACGTGCCGATGTGAAAGGGGCTTGATCACAAGCAACGTAGTGCCAGACTGGGAGGGGAACCCATTGGCTGCCATCAGCTGTAGTTTGCGGAAGTATCATGAAGGGCGAATACGTATAATCCAGATTCGGCCCGTATGACTTATTATACAACTTGTACCGACATCTCTTCTTATACCTAGTCCCTCAACCCCAAGCATACAGCGCTGTCTCGGGTCTTTTCACGGCACGTTCGTGCATGCTTGCGGCACTGGTCACAGTTGATTCTCAACTTCTAGCAGCCTTTCACGGGGCCCTAAACTACTGAACCCTAGATCTCGAAACCTCTGAAGCCTCCACGTCCCCCGAACCTGGATTCAGAACTGATTCAGAGGCAACGCGTAGCACACCTGGGCGGACCTCTGGGCCTCTATCGAGGTGCAGACGTGGAGTTTCAGGGGCTTTTGTTAGCTTCCACGCTCTCACTTTAAGTTGTTTGCTTTTGGTAGCTTCCTTGGGGTTAGGTTCCGCATAAATCCACGGAAATGCAAAAACTAACTAACAGGCTTCCTTTACCGGTGATTCAACCACAAATGACCTACACGGAAGATCTTGTTTCACTACACATTTCGGTGAAACACTGTGACGGCTCTCCGAGACGAGGCATTCTCCCAGGATCCGTGAGCGTCTTCCTCCGGAATGGAACGGCTGCCGTCGCCGCGCGCTTACGGCAAGGGTTGAGGATTCATTGATTATGACTATAGCGTCTATAGGGACTTGAGTCACATGATGTTAAGGCAGACGTCGGGTTTGAGGGTTCTATGGTGGTATGCCTTTGAACTTGTGCATCCCCAGACTTGGCAAAGCAGATGCTGCCCGAGCCACTCTGGAGGGTATGGATGATAATTAGACACCGCAATGCGGGTTCGCCTCCGGTCATGTCATCCATGACTGCGTATGGGTTGCCGAGTATCACCATCAATCTATAGAGTTCGATTAGAGCTACGCAGTTGGTCACACGTCCAGTGCTCAATGGTCATGTCCTGTGGCTGTGACCATGGCCTCCACTCACTCACGGAGTCTTGCTCGAGACGATGCCCGCTCGTTCCAAGGCTACAGTACATCATGTCATGATGTCCTGCATGAACCGACAGGGTTTCGGTAGCCATCACTGAGACCTTGGTTCGAGGCCGGGGCTGTAGGGTATTGGGCCTTGCTTGCATCTTTAGCTATCGAGGTTTAAGGCTTTTGGGGGCGGGAGGGGGGGTGGGGGGTCACCTGACGACACTCTTTCACCATCTGTGTGGGTTCCGTGGCCGAGGTGATGTCCTTTGCTCAGCGCAAGCTGACCGAGTCTGGAGCCCGATTTGGCGCAAGGTGTGGGCCGGGTGTAGCAGCGTAGCTTCCTCCGTGAACAGAGCTGACGTAAGGTTCTGATGTCTGCTGCTGTCAGCACTTCGGGGCCGAAAGCTACGGGCAGTGAGGAGAGAGATACCCTTAGCCCATGGCATCCCTCAGTCTGCACAACCGCCTGCCTGAGGCTGGGTCTTCGCTGAGCGGCCCGCAGTCTGGAAGTCTCAAGTTCCGGGGGCTTAGTGTTAGGACGAAGGTTATACCCACCAGCCAACTTTCACGGACAGGCACAACGGCAGTGCCATCACATGAAGACTTTAGGGTTCAGGGTTTAGGGTTTCATTAGGGCTACACTTTCACACACTGAGCCGCCAAGTGCCTGGGTTGCTTAGGGACCCTAAAGTCTCCACAGCCAATTCGCAAGGCGTGCCAAATGCAAAAAGAGGGTTCCTGTGCCCCCCACCCCCCACCCTCACCCCGCCCCTACTGAACAGCAAGCATAAACTAGGCCCAATATGACACGCATGAGTTTGAGACCGCAGAGTTAGGAATCAGAGCGAGGTGTCACACAACTAAGAGCAACAATGAGCAACAGGAAGGAGAATGTTAGTAAAATAGTGTCATTCGTGCTGACGGGGTGGAAGTGAGAAAGCAGCTGCAGTATTGGCAGTGATACTGTATCAGCAAGAGAATTCGTCACTGTCGGCGTCATCGTCGACGCCCCATGACCATCACGATATAAGTCATCTTTTGGTAACTTTTAGGGTTACCATCTGCAAAAAGTGAAGACCCAAGACCCAGCCCACGTGAGGGTGTAGGACCTGCAGTTTTGATCTGTAGCCGTTCTTGTTGACCAACCTGAAGGCCCCCAAGCATGCCAGCTGCCCCAGCGCCCACACTCCGAAAGCCCTGGAGTCAGAAAGTTGTTTGCATTGCGGCTCACAGCGATTCGGGCGGGTGAACAAACCCCTTTTTCGGGATATCCTTCCGACAGCTGCAGAGCTGTGAGGAGCTGAGGCTTCGATTTCGGGGGTGTGGGCGGGTTCAGGGGCCGTTCCGGGGTCAGGGTTCAGAAACGCTTATTGTGCCCATCTACGAGGCACGTAAGCGAACAGAAGGAAATCCCCCAAGCCAGCTCCTGACCCGAGCCGCAGCCCCGCCGAGGTCATGGGAAGCGCCAACGCCCAGGCTGGGGCCTCATGCGGGGCCCGTATCAGCTATCTCGGCCTGCTACTCACCCTAAACCCTAAACTCACACTTGACTATAATAGCTGTCGGTCTTTAAGGAGCCTCAGAGACCCCGAGCTGGACTTTGGAGGTCCCCGTGAAGTGAACTGAAAGCTCCATGCACGACAGCGGCCTTAGGGTTCAGGGTTTAGGGTTTTGGGTTCAGGGTTCAGGGTTTAGGGTTCAGGGTTCAGGGTTTAGGGTTTAGGGACCCTTGCTTTCTGAGGCCGACACCTGGTGCTTGTGGAAGAGACTTTTCGCGGCCGGGCGTCTGTGGTGCTCAAGAGTCCAGGGTGTTCAGGATTGGACTGCTTCGGGCCTTCTGCAGGCGCTACAGGATGTAAGGCATCGGGGATCAACCTCCGGGATCTACGCCCAGGAAGCATGCTAAGCATATACTCACCTCCTTCCCTGCAAACGCCGCAGGCCCCGGCAGCACATCACGGACATTGCGGCTTCGTCTTCCTCCCCTTAACGGTGGTGCTATGGCGAAGGTGACATGACAGCTCACATGTGGTCAGGGCTCCAAGAGCTCCCGCGGCTAACTCTCGGTTCTCATGTGGCTGCGATTCCCTGCAGGGCGGGCTGATGAGCGTCGCACTGCCATGAAGCATGTTGCTACAAGATGCTCAGAGTTGCTTCCGTGACTTCGAAAGAGTTCAGAAGCGGTGATGCCGGACGTCATGGTGCATTGGGATGCGTATGCGCAAAAAATTAAGCACACGTCGCCATTGACGGGAGGCATTATAGGTTGGTGTAAGATCAAAGATGAGATGCTCGCGGATGCGCCTGCGCAAGGCGTGCATGTCGTCTTGCAACCAACCGGGTCAGACTGCGCCGCAGACCAGACTTAATCCGCTCTTTCTTTCGGGCTGGTGTCGTTCTGATGGTTAAAATGTACAATCAGCCGTCAACTTGCACGAGGCCCGTCAGCCTACATGCCACTCTACGAACCAAACCCGCAACGCTAATCGCTCCGCCCGCGTGTTGTTCTGCACGCAACGCAGCAGAAGCGGAACGAAAGATCGTAAACCGTGCAAACTGCCATCTATTCAAGGAACAGCTGCAACAGAGCTGACAGTCCACGTTTTGCTTCGGGTTAGAATCCCCCCTGCACCACAAGAAGTGAGAGCGCGCAAAAGCAGCCTCAAGCAGACATTGCGCGCTTTCACTTTCCCTTTCACACGCTGCAAGATCCATATTCCTGCGAGCGAACATTGAGAAAAGGCGCTGTGGCCCGTCGCAAGCTGTGCCGTTGCACATCCCCAGGCTCAGATCTGAAGAGTCCTCCCGGCCCGAAAGCCCTGTAAGCCGAGTAAGGCTGCACATTCCGACCTGCCTGAGTCTGCGCCAAGGGGCCCTAAACCCTTGCGACCTTCAACCTGAGCCATAGATGCACTTCCGACTTTACGCTTCGGCAGAGGTGGCGGAGAGCTTTGCGCAAAGCAAAGCTGTTAAGGGACCCCGGCAGTCGCATGCCTGGCCTTGATCTCCAGGCCCTCATCGCCCTTTCGGGCCTCCTTCGGCACTGGCTGCAGGGCAGCCACAGCCGTTGCCACAAGCGGCTGCTTGCAATGTGCAGAAGCTGCACAGCGGCTGAGGGATCATGATGAAGGGTTGTCGGACTGTCAAGGCTCATCTATAGGGCTGCTTGCAGTGCGCAGGCTTCGCGTTGCTCCACGGGCCTGAAACTCCTTGCGGCAGTGATCCGTGTCTGCCCGAGTAGTTCCGTGCGCCAGCGTTTGCGGTGAAGCGAGTCAGCCAGGCACATCAGCACAGGTCGCATGTACACAACCACTTGGCCTTCTGATTGCACAAACATCACCGAACAATCCTTGCAAAGCTTGTCCGAGCCTGTCATAGCTGTGAGGCTGTCTGTTGCGTGGAGGGCAAGGGACGAGTACAGATCGTGCTGGAAGATCATGTTCTCGCTTCTCGACACATTGAAGCATCAGGCTTAGGCTAACCGCCGGTGAGCAACCAAAGCTTTGGCGATCCAATGCCGGAACAAAGGGAGCATTTTAGGATTTTGGTCTAGGGTTATAGGATCTGGTAAAGATTTCCATGCTCGTTGCCGTCTTCGCCGAAGGTTCAGCCCCTCGATTGGATCTGTGAAAGAGCGGGGCCTCTTGATGCGGTTGTCGCAGCACACAGCCACGTCAGCACTCCTGCAGCATTGTGCTTGAGGGAAGGCCGAGTGTGGGGGCGAGGACGAAGCTTTCTCTCCATCAAATCCACCGCCAGGAGCACCAGTGCTCCGCCTTCAGCATCTTCTGCCCGAAGCATTGCACGGCTCAGCTCTGCATCGACGTTCCCGTGCTCAGCCAACTTCTACTTCACCATGCACCCGGTGTTCAACTCGGAGCCTGCAAGTGCCTGCACGGTTGGCAGCTCGTGTTTCTTGCCCTAACCAAGCTGCGGGGCTATGCAGCCGATGGGTGCAGATGAGGGAAGCACGGAGCCTTGGCCTTGCGATCGCCACTTCGCACATCAACCCAAAACTAGACGCAGATTGCAATCGTCCTTGAATTATCACCCCCATCCGCATCACCCCCACCTGCATGCTGCCTGCCTGTGATCAGGATGCCCCTTGCGACAACTTGAGCAGAGCAAGTCTTGTGCAACTTCAAATCCGCATCCTTCCTGAGCTCGGCAACCGAAATCCTGCAAGCTGCGTGTCATCCACGACGGAGCAGGACACGTGATCATCCACTCCGTGCGTTTAAAAGGCAGCCTGGAGGCGTCCATACGGCACTGCCTTCCTTCAAAAGAGCAGCTCCCCTTTGTAAGAGCTGCTTGTTCTGCGCGGCTTCCCACCCTTAGCTATAATTATAGGGTCCCTGCCTCTTACTTGCGCCTCTGCAAAGGCCCCATAAGAACTCCCTAAGTTGGCCTTTGCGTTTTCGAGGCTCTTAGTCTTCGGTGCGGGCCTCTGCTCGAAAGCAGCGGGCTGTAGGGTGGCCTGCACCCCCAGGAGCTTCCGTGCGGTGTTTCTGCTGCAAAGGGGCCCAGAAAGGCCATGAGACCTACAGAAAGCACCCGGGGGCAAACGTTGAAGTCTGAGCTTGCGTGGGTCCTTGAAAAAGCTTCCCGAGCTCTTGGGGCTCTTCCTGAGCTAGGATCGACCAGAAGGTCCGTGAGCTTTTGAAACCCCTGAAGTTCGGAAGCAGAGCTCGGGATACTCAGGAAGCAGCAGCAAAGAAGGAGCTTCTGGCTTAGGGGCCTTAAAAGCCTGGCCCTTGGACCTGTCGGCCCTCTCTGCTCCCCTCTCTCCCCTGTGTGCAGTGCCTTTGGGCCTTCCGCGCCTCAAGCTAAAGTCCCTGCTTCCCACTTTAAAGGAAAGCTACAGCCAAAAGCTTCCGGAGGTCGTGGAGTGAGCTTGGGCCTCCACGAGGCTCTCCGGTTGCACCACAAGGGGGCTTCGCAGACCTTGCAGCCAAAGCTTCGAAAGCAGCCCGGAGGTGCCGTTAAAGGAGCCGAGAGGAGCCCCGAAGGCGGCGGAAGGCCGCAGAAGCCGAGAAGAAGGGGCTCCGCCACTTTGGAGTCGCAGGTCCAAAAGCAAGGATGCGCCGACAGTGGAGTCAAAGTCTGCTCGAGCCTCTCTCTCTCGACTTTTGCCTCCCGTGGCACGTAGCAAAACAGGGGGACCTCCCCAATTGCAACATTGCAGCCCGACGCCTGGCGAAGGCGCGGGGCAACAACTGCAGCTTCAAACGTTGAAATGATAAACGTTGCAGGCTCCTCACTCCCACTGAGGCTATATCGGAGCAACTTTCCCAGAAGCTTTGTCCCCACTTCTCCAAAAGAATAGCTGGGCATGCTTGGCGGATCTGCCATGAAGAGACACAGGCACGACAGAGCAATCCCTTCTTATGTGTGCTTCTTCCTTGCTTTCTGGGCCTACATTGTAGTCATCAAAGCCTGTAGTGGCTCATCAAAAATCTTGAGGCCAAAGACATGGTGGTCCCTCTTCAAG